TTTTAAAATAAGACGGAAATTCTTATCAAATTATTGGAGACCCCAATAGCTGATGAAACGACGAAACTTTTTTAATTAATTCGTGTTTTTCCCCTGTTAGGGATGTTTTTACAAAAAAAATAGATTTTTAAAATCTCAAACTATATTTAAAGTTAACATTCTCATTCATTAAATAACATTTGTTGACCTTGCTTTGAAAACCAATATCTTATGTACCTACCAACAACTAGATTCATTCAAGATAGGAAATATATGCATTCACTTTATGAACACCTATGTACAATAGCTATAGCTATGGAGATTCTTGAGGCGATCCTTTAATCAAGTAGCCAGTTGTTTACACTGTAACCACGGCATTCTTAGCATAATCTGCTGGATTTTACCCATTAAAAGTCAAGGTTTCTACCGGGTCATCTTGAAAGCGATTGCTACTATATTCTCTATATATTTTCGATTCGGTTAGTAAATGCATGACCTTTTAAAGTAGTATATATTTGTTTGAAGAGGCGTCAAAAACAAACGGATTCACTCAAGTAATCTATTGTGTTCTATTAATAGAATAATAGGTGTTTTGTATGATTTTTAATGTTTTGTTGGTTCGTCTATTTACTTTATTGGGTCCAATATAGGACAAAAAAGTATTTTTTTTTTTCGTTTTTTTCAGAAAAATGTGTTTATAGCTAGCTTTATATATCTCCACTGTATTACCAATTTGAAATCCAAAATTTAATTCAATAAAAAAAGTTGTTATAAAAATAATTTGAAATAAAATGTACTTAGTTCACAAACTTTTGACTCCAATTTATTTTATTTTTTATTAAAAATTGTATGCTTTTTTTTAAATATGTATGTTCGTTAAGTTACTTTTTAAAAGAACTATTATAGACGCCCTTTTTCTTTGACTATAAGCTGGTGAAGGTCTTTCGTCCCTTTTAGTACTTTTGTATATTGCGTGGAATTTTCCCTTGGATGCATTACATGTAATCTATATCATGAGTTGTAATCACAAATAACTTTAAATTGGTTTATCATAAACTACTTTTAATAAAAGCGACGGTAAATATCCACTTTGTTGTCGAAAAATTCTATTGCGTTACCCTAAATTCCATTGCGTTACCATAAGGTAACGTAATGGACTCGGTAACGCAGTGGAAAAAGTTTTGTGAAACCATATTTAAAAAACATTATAGTCATTAATTACTCTCAATGAGCTTTAGTGCCCTAAAATAAACATAAACATGAAAAATAGTATTTTTTCTTACCTTATTTTTATTATTTTTTTTTGAGTAACTTAGCGGACAAACAATTATTACATTCTCGTTACCCGCACCTGTTTCAACCGATATCTTCTTCCTGATTGAATAAATAAATTCAGCTGGGTAATGTGTACGTCCGAACATTATTTGTTGATCACGTGAGTGCCAAAAAAGTTGCCATATATATGTTTTTTTTAAATATTCTATCGGTAACGCGACGGACGTAACGCAACGGAAAAAATGTCTGGGACAAATTTAAAAAAAGTTGATTAAAATTAATTAATTTATGTATAAATTGTTTACTGTATTAACTAAGGATGTTATCGATTGCTATAAAGCAAAACAAAGTTCTGGTTATTCAATATTAAAAAAAAACATGTATGTAAGTTTTATAAAACGCTAATGGGACATGCGAAAAAGTGTGTTTCACAAGTTTCAAAATTAAAAAAAAAATATTCTGAAATTACTAAACAAACATTTTTTGAAAGAGTTTACTAAGGGCTTGTTAGGCTTTCACTTGGGTTTTAAATCAATAAGATTTTTTTATAATATTCACCTTTATTAAAACTGAGATTTAAAAAACTTTAATTTTCACCAGGAATTCTTAATGTATATTCCAAGAACTGGTTTGCCAGCATAACCGCCATCTTAACCGAAAGATTTATGCCCATTCGGTATTCTTCGGTATTCCGATATAATTTTCACGTATCTGATTCTCTATTGCTATGCACATAATGGCTAGAGGAATATTTATTGCTACCCACGCCAAAAGAAAGTACTTGCTCTCTAAAAATGAAATAGTCAAAATTCTACTATTTGAATTAGTAAAAGCATTTTTTACTAATAAAATAGTCGTTTTCACTTTTAAATAGTTATTTTTTACTATGTAAATAGTTAAAGTTTGACTAATTTAAGATTAGTCACCATATTTGACTATTTCTGACAGTTAAAAGTAACTAATTTCTTTAGTCGTTTACGGCCAACAACAAAGTATTATTTGAATTAAATGCATATACCTACCTCTCCATGGTTAAATGACCCATAAAACAAATAAAGATGCAAAAAGTTTAGCTCAAAATAGCAAGACAAATAATATATTAAACTTTAAAATATTATGAACCATATTTATTGACAAATAAAATCAATTTTTATAAGAGCGGCTGACAGCCGAATGCGTTAAGACGTTAGCTTGACAAACTTGTCAAGTGACAGACCTGAGTTCAATCCCAGGCTGGGTCAAAACTTTTTTTAAATTTAAATTTACTAATTTGACTATTTCATTCAGTGGAATTTGACTAATTATTAGTGACTGCTTTTTCACTATGACAATTAGTCAAATATGACTTATAATTAGTTATTTTTGACTAATTCATTTTAAGAGAGTGGAAATATTTAAGTACCTAAAGGCACAATCGCAATCATAGAAATAACACTACGTATTATCTTTATTTTAGTATGAATGAGATACTCGTGTTTATGGAATGTGATTTTTACTTACAACAACATTAAAAAAACAAAAAAATATTAGTTTTTTTTTAATTTTAATATAAATTTAATAAATTTAATGCAGACAGCGCCTTGTTCTCTTGTTTTTCCATTTTTTAACCTCGGTTGTTCAAGGAAAATTCCTGTTATCAACCACATCAAAATCGTCATGTCTTGTTGGTCGTTTGCAATACGTTTTCTGAATTTAAATTATTAAATATTAACAAACAAAAAACACAACTATTATTTTAATCATTACTTTTATTATTTAAATCGTTTTTCTTACCTAACATGTTGTTATACAGGGTGAATACAGAGGAAATTGGTACAAGTTCACAGGTTAAACTTTGGGCCCATAACCTAAAATTTGAAAGAAATGCACCAGATTCTGTCATAAATTGCCAGATTTTGTTTGAATTTACCTTCATTTCAAAAATGACATAATCAACAATTAATAAAAACGCCAAATTAACAATTTGTATTGTTGATTTTGTCATTTTTGTAATTAGACTAAATTTAAACAAAATCTGGCAACTTTTTTGTCTAGAGTTTAGGTGCTTTTTTATGACCTAATTAATTTCATAACACCCTGTATAATAGTTAATTTTATTTTAAAAATGACTTCTTATGAGATGTTTATCGTTTTAGGTACAAAAATCAAGGAAACCTTGTTTTAATGAATATTATTTTTTTATTTGGTATTCCGGTTATGTTAGAATTTGTACCAATTCGGTATAAACTAAAAAAAAAAGACAAGGACAAGGTTATAACAATATGTTATTGGAAGTTCAAGGCGTTTAATAGTATATTATATATCAAGTTTGATAAACGCCATTTTATACACGAATTTAATTTAAATTAATGAGTGTATAGAAAAGTTTATAAACGAGGTGCATACTATACTTTTTCTACAACAAATACTTATTATTATCTTAAAATTATTTAAATCAAAAATTTGTATAGAGCGCCATCTATGAAACAATAGGGGAATCTGTGTGTCACCGTCAAATGTCAATTTTTTTTATTTTATAAACACAGATTATAAACGTTATAAATCGAAATGTATTTCTTGAAAATTGACAGTTTTTCACAGTAAAAGTAAAGAAAATGTTTTATGAGCACTTTACAGTGGAGTCCGTGCCCGAATTTAAGTTATAGTTTACTGCCGGCGAAATTAAAAGGTCAGTACAATGTTCATATAAACGTTTCAAATATTGGCGTTGAGAAACTATTTAATACTTTTGTATTTTTGTATTGAGATAATAAAATAATTTTCACATTTAGTATTATTTTACACTTTTTTTAACGATTGTATGACATTTGACATCTGTCAACTAACTTCAGCCCTTGACTAAAAACCTGTTGCCCGTGACTAAAGCGCCATAAAGCCACAACTTGTCAATGTGTATTTAAAAGGTCACTTAGTGTCATGGAAACATGTACGATATAGGGCGTTTTAAAGGTGGGAGTAGAAAAAATATTTTAAACAAAATGCCAATTTCTAAAATTTCAAACTTGAAACTACTAATTTCTGCTTTAAAACATTAATTGATAAAATCAGTTAATTACCTTAAGTGGAGTACCTTGCCCAAAGCAATTTTTTTGTTGATAAATTTAAATATTAATGTTGAAGGTTTTTGATAAAATACTTATAAATTCACCATTATTAATAAACTGCAATAAAATTTAAAATGCCGACCTTTTCAATTTTATTTAAGTAGCTACTTACGTATTTTTATCTTGACATACTTATTTGTATGTTATATGTTAACCATTTATTTATATAAATAATTCAATTATTTTGTTATTATAAATATCATTTGTTAATTTTGTTTATCTTACCATAGAATGGCAACCCCTATACACTCCTTCATTACTCTTGGAACAACCTGTACATTATAAAATCCTAAAATTTAAAATTTGATAAAACTGCTAATTTAACATTTCCATTGGTTTTTATTTATTTTTATTTGAGTAATACCACAATTAAATTTAATTTTAAACAAATAATTTCTATGTGTTCCCTTTGTTATGTCATATTTAACAAATAAATACATTGAAAGGTTATTTAGTCATCAAACGTCGGAAAATTAGTTTGACAATGAACAACACTTTGTTTTTTATCCAGAATTCTCATATTAATAACCTCTTAATCTAAATTAGAAATAGGAACGGACCTGTCATGAGATTCTAACTAAAATTAACTTTATATATACTATATGTACTATATAATTTAATAATATTTTCTTTATTTTTCAGGGATTGTGGTTGCACTGTCGATAGCTATAATTTTATCTGGAGTCATAGTAGTTGTATTCTTCACTAGTTGGGTTAACTTAGTCATAGACCATGTAAGTAGTTTTTTTTAAATTAATGAATTAATATTAAGGTAATATAATTATTTGTTTAGTTTTTCTTTATATATTTCCCTGATAGCAAAATTTGATTTTAAGAATCTTCTAAGAAGATATGACCGGAATAATGGAATATTCTTAGAACCTTCCCTTATTGCTAAGAATTTTCTTAGGGACTTTTAAAACATTTAATATATACACTTTTAATGATGCAATTAGATTCTTAAAAGCTTCTTAAAACCTTCCTAAAAAGCATCTTAAGAAAATTTTAAGAATACGGTTTTGGAATGTTCTTAGAAGGTTTCTTATGGAGCTTCTAGGAAGCTTTTGAGAATATTTCCAAATATGTCAGATACCCACATTCTATAGAATTATTATAATATGTTGTATTCTACATTCGTAAAATTCTTCAGAAGGCAAATACGCCTCACTGTCATAATATGATAGTGAAATGTATTTGTAGTCCCCTTAAAAAATTTTGCGACATATTAATATATATTTATTTAAAAATATTAAATAAACAATTTGACCTCTAAACCATAAGTTGTATGACATTATTTCACAAAAAGTAAAATTGAAAAATTTTGTGAAGATAGTTAGGATTATTATACATAAAAATGTTAATTCAGAAATAAAAAATCGTTATACAAATTAATAAATATTTATTTTTAACATAAAATAAATACCTATAGTAAAGGTATTTTTGTTATCGAATATTGTTTTAGTTTGACAAATAACTATAAAAAATATTTTGGATTGTGTTTTTACTTAGTATTTAATACTAATTACTAATTAGGTACTTAAGTATAGGTATATACCTTTATACGTAGTTTATGGTATATTTTACTATTATATAGGTAACTGAACTAAATATGCTTAACAGGAATATTCCTAAATGAACTTTCTATAGCAATTACTTTCTTAACATTCTAAGCATATGTTTAGAGTAGACTAATTTTTACCACATGCTATTGTCTTTTAAGCATGTTCTTTAGAATAAATATAGCATGATCCTAAGAATATTCTCACTGGAAGGTTTAAAAAAATTCTTAGAATAAAGTGTGCTATCAGGGTTAATGTATGGTATGGTCTCTTTTTTTCCAAACAAATTTATTACATTTTTATATAATAACAATTATTATTATTATTATTATTAACAAGTTGTCTTAAATACGTAATATTTCCTGATCGTTACGGTACGATAACTTCAATAGGCAAATACAATAAAATTTATATTAAGTAATTATAAAAATAATGATATTAACTAAATCTTTAAAGTAAGTAAGGTTTGTTTATTAAATGCAATGGAATCGTTACAAAAAATAGCATTAGTTTAACCATTTAAATTTAATATTGTTTACTGAAATTATAGTACTAAGTTTAATTGCTGTACTTACTACAGCAAATAATCAAGGCTGCTGTTTATATAATAGACAAACCATATTTAAATACAATTTAAATTAATATACAAACAAAATTTAAAAAAATAAATAAAAATGCGTATAGGGTATTATAATAGGACAATTAACATTAATACTGTAAAACAAGAGTTCTATAAATAGTTACCTTATAACTATTTTTGTTTTTTTGTTAAAAGCGGGGTTGTGTTTAAATTACAATAAAAAATATTTCTAAAAAGTGTACAGATCAGTGTGTGGTATAAATGTGTTCCTCATGGTTTAAACATTGTCACTTTAATGCGTTTTAATTTTAATTCTGAAAACAAACAGTAAAATGGCCAGTGTCCAATTACTGGTTGGTAAAAAATGTAAATTTCTGTTATTGGACATATGTCCAATATCATACTCTATTTGTATCCCGGACATTTGCCAGCCAATTCTTATGTAAAATTGTCCCCTGAATCCAAAAAGACCGTCAAAACTGTAAAAGTTAAGCAGTTTTTGAGATATAGTCAATTCCATATTATATGTAAAATTGATTATATTTCAAAAACTGTTTTACTTTCATAACTTTTGACGATATTTTCGGATTCAGCGAATAATATTTCATAGGAATTGACTGCTAAATGTCCTGGATACAAAGTGCTATTTACTAGAATTATTAGTGGCTGCTTTTTCGCTATGACATTTTTGACTAATTCATTTTTAGAGAGTAAGTAATATAGTGATTTCTTCGTCACAGGACATCTTGCAGAATAACAGTGATTTAAATACAGTGCATGATAGAGAACATAAAAAACTAATGGCAACAAAATTAATAAATTCGGAAAATACTTTTAGCATACCACCCGAAAAAATATTATCCTGTTCCGGCCTAAACATTATAAATGCTTCACAAACTAGATATACCACACTTAATAATATTTGCAACAAACTATTTCAGAAGTCAGACCAAGGAATTAGTAGTTACCTTCAGAATCCAGAAAAGGGATGAGGAATCCGAGAAAGAAATATATTGTTATGTTTTTATGTTTATATAAAAATTGCATGTCCAATAACTATGGTCTATGTGTCCAATTACTATATAAAATGTCCAATTACTATACTTTTTTGCATGTTTTTATAAAACTATTGTTAAAAATTCAAATATTCTTTCCAATAAAGAAAACATCCACCATTACTGTTTTTACTAAAAGAATATTTTACATCTACGTGTTAATCAACCAATGCATATATCAACGCGCCTTGAAAACCGTTGATAAAAAAAGACGAAGTAAACAATGATGAATCATAAAAGCACAAATAAAACATTTTCAGGGATATGCACATGTATACCTTTTGGGTATTATTAAATTATATGCTAACAAGAAATATAAAATAAAAAACTTCCATATATCGACACTTGCTATTTGTAGAATAACAAAAAAACAATAATAAACTGATAAAGTTTGACCTTGATATAAAATATTTTGAGAAAGTTTATGAACGTTTCCTCTATAAACACTTTTTAATTTTGTCAAATCCCCATTAAAAAGTCATTTAATAGAAACTATACAACATCAAAACATTGTTAGAAACTATAATAATTTTTGAAAGCATACCAAAGTTCCAAATGACATCGACCTGAAGTATTTAATAAAATTATTTATATCAAATTAGTTGTTACTAATACTTGGAAAATCTTTAGGATTTTGACTAATAATATATTCACGTCCTTCACCAATGAGTAATACACAAACTTTTAAAGCGAGTCAATGGAACACTTACATTCCTGGAAAGATTACTAATTTGATTCAATGGTACTATAAATATGTTAATTTTTGTAATTTTAATACATGTTATATGGGAACATTTTAAAATGATTAAAAAAACTTATTTTTATAAAATATATAGTTAGTCATAAAATATAACAGTATATGTTTTTTAAACGGAAATAAGCAGGAAGTTGTTATTTTGAAGACATTTTTTATGCTACTACTAATTCCTTGGTCTGAATTCTGAAATAGTTTGTTGCAAATATCATTAAGTGTGGTATCTCTAGTTTGTGAAGCATTTATAATGTTTACGCCGGAACAGGATGATTTATATATATCTAATATCTTTTCGGTATGTTAAAAATATTTCTCCAATGTATTAATTTTGTTGCCATTAGTTTTTTATGTTCTCTATCATGCACTGTTATTCTGCAAGATGTCCTGTGACGAAGAAATCACTATATTACTTACTCTCTAAAAATGAATTAGTCAAAAATGTCATAGCGAAAAAGCAGCCACTAATAATTCTCGTCAACAAAAATTTGTATCCAGGATATTTAGCAGTCAATTCCTATTATTCGCTGGATCTGAAAATTTCGTCAAAAGTTATAAAAGTAGAAATATAATCAATTTTACATATAATATGGAATTGACTATATCTCAAAAACTGCTTAACTGTACACTTTTTATTCATTGAATCATAGGCTATTTATGCTATTTAAATGATCTAAAATGATGTAATCTTTAGGTATTTCTTACTATTCATTATTATTTTCAACATGTAAATAGATTATTCGTAGTAATAATTATTGCAAATGTTTTTTGTTATTTTTAATCCTTAAGGTTTTTTAATAAATAATAAGTTTTATTGATTATTAGCTTTCAAAATTCCTTTTTTCCCGAACACCCTGTAAAAATAAAAATATAATATTAAAAAAATATATTTGGGTGATTCTACAAAAGTTGGGCAACTTTTGACCTCATTTTGTTTATATAGATTTCGGAGAAAATTAAACAGTATTTTGTTATGAGAACATAGATAATATAATAAATATACTGATCCAGACCGGGCCAGTCACTTTTTCAAACAGTTTCTGAAATATCTGTGTTTTCTAAATTTGAATGCAAGGAAAGTGACGAGTATACCAGGGTACTAATTAAATACATAATTTATTGGAAAATATAAGATTTATTGCAACTTTGAGCATATTATACATTAAATATCTTAAAATCAAATAATACCACACATTAGTGGCGGCTGGTGGATTTTGGGTATACCGATATCTCAATTATTAGATATGGGACCCACACCAAATTTATATGAGTTTATAATGACATTAAATAAACAAGTTCTGCGCAAGCAGAATTTAAATTGAAGTTTGCGAAAAAAAGATAACCGAAACATCGAACTGATGACACGGTACTGATGAATGGGATACAAATTTGAGATTATAATTCGGAATTACTGATATTTTTTATTAGTGGAATGCTACTTATCAACAAATCACATATAGCCTTATATAAATTACAATTAAATATATATACGTAAGAAAATAACTACTCACCACAGTACTGAAATTTTGACTGGAACTATACGTGCATTCAGCACAACTTCGCCGCTTGCATTGTTTGCACAGGGCGGGCTCTGTAGGTAATTTTTTACCAACACTTGAGTTAAAACGAGGACTTGACGTTTAAACTTCAATATTTCGCAGGAATTTTGAATTTTAACATTGGACACAGAACTGACGGGTAAAAGTGAGTACAAAGATTATCAATTTTTTAAAAATTGCTATTATTCGAATCTATGATAAAATATAAAAAAAAAATTATTATATGTTTTATAGTTTGTAGTGAAATTGAAAAATTTAAGATAAATTGAATATATTTTAAAATAAAATCACTCAAATATTTGATTCAGGAGTAGTTTCTGAGATAAGTATATAAATGTTATAGGTGCCTACATTAAACGGTAGTTCTATTTATCGGTTGACTTAAAGTTAATGTTATACATGCATATTTCAGGAAACAGTAATTTTATATGTAAGTATATATATACATACAAATAAAATATCCTATGATCGGTTGGTATGAGTATTATTATTGTATGTACACAAGCTAATTAGCAGTGAATAATAAGTTTAATGAGTTTTATAATCGAGAAATGTTAGTTTTATAATGTTATACTATAAGTACCTAAAAAAATTACTTCCTTGGTGTAAGGAGGTATAATTATGGACCTTCCTTGTATAAATGTTATATTTTTTTTGATTTTTGTTCTTATTATATATACCTACTATAAATTAATATAAATTATTTAAATAAAATTTTTGCGATATTTATTTATACATTTATGCACATTTAACTAAAATAAAATGTCACAGAATATTGTATAATAGACGCATATTTACAACAGTTTCAAATATGTCGAAAATATGCCAAGATTATTTAACATTTACAAAATTAAACATGGAAGTAGTAAATAAAACTAAATTCTTTTTAGTCGGACTTTCTACCAATTTTAAGATATCCAATTGGAAAGTTTTGGCTGAGTTAGCTAATAATAAACGAATTATGTGTTAAATATTTAAGTATTATAATTCATAGGCGTACACTTTTTATTCTTACACAGTAAAAAAAAATCAACTCTAAGCAACACTAATTAGAGTTCACACAGGTCCACACTAAATAGAGTTGTTTTATAACACTACAATTAGTTAATTTGTAGTGTAATTTTCCCCAAGTAAGCAAGTATGATTTAACACTATAGCACTGAGGATAAAGTAATTTTACACTGTATTAAAAAGTGTTAATTTACCTAAAATCGTGTACTCCTACACTTCCTGAGTAAAATCCCACTTTTGTTCAGTGTAAATTAACACTACTTTGGAAAAGTTCTAATTTTAGAAAGTTACTTTTACTCTTTTAGTGCTAACTTCTAGTGTAAATTAACACTATTATTTGAGTAAAACCTATTGGTGGTAGTGAATAAAACGAAAAGGCAAATAAAGAGAAACATTTATTTGGAACAAAAATTTATAACAATTATCAAAATCGGTGCCTTTTAAAATATAATTTTATATTTGAGTCGTATGGCTGGCTTAAGCAAAATGGTTCCTTAAAACGTAAAAGTTTTAGATCAATGCAATGTTTTACTGGCTGTCAACTTGTAAGCAATGAATTATCTTGAGAATTCATCAGTAATCCATTTTTCTGTTATAAAAAATGGGTGATCCCATTGGTAGAGAGGCGTCAGGCGGCTGTATGTCGGGTATTTACCACACGAGTACAAATTTTCCATAATATTAATAAAATTTAGGTATAGGTTAATATAACAACCATTACGCTTGAAAATAAAAGGTAAATGAAGTGTGTATGTATTTATATTATTAATGTTACAAGTACCCGACCTACTGCCGTAAATTATTGATATATAATATAGGTCGGGTATGGACATCCTTTTAACATATTGGTATTTATTGAGTATTAAGGCTTAAAGAAAAAGGAAGTATAATACTTACCAAAAAATAAGAATGTCCCCGTAATTAAAATCTAACTGAACAAAAATGCCACACTTCCACAAGGCGGTATCTCCGGACATGCACTGCGTAGGTAGATAGGTACCAACCAAACATTTTAAAACGCATTTCTGTTATTACCAGTTTTTTCAGTGTATTTTGCCACTATTGATGTAATTTAACTTTAATTGTGATAAAATGTGCACTAGTAGTGTAAAGAAAAAAGAGCTCTTAGTAACATCAAAACAGACAAAGAAATTGGCATGCACTGTAGTGTACATTTTGTCACTATTTAACACATTAAGGGGTAATAAACACTCGCATTAAGTTTTTCTACCCTTTTGATTTATTTTAATAATAAATAGTGTGAATGTACCAATGAATAATGTTCATATTCTTTAAATGTGTTTAATAAAGTTAAAAAAAATATTACGAAATTTTTTAACTTTAAATATTTCTCTTTCCAGGAATTAGTTTTAAAAGATGGCGGCCAAGCTTTCGGTTGGTGGTCAAAACCTCCGGTAGTTCCAATGATTAAAGTTTACGTTTATAACGTAACAAATGCAGACGAGTTCCTTAACAACGGTTCCAAGCCAATTTTGGACGAACTGGGTCCATACGTTTACGTGTAAGTATTCAAAACCATGTCCTATACCTACCCTGAATAGTTTTTTAGTTCAAATTTGAGAATTGCGTGTCAATCAAAAATGACTTAAAGTCTATTCAAATCCAAGCTGGACTAAACAAAATCGCCCAGACGTGGATTTTAATAGACCATATAGTTATTGGGCAGTAAATTACTATGAAATATTATTCGCTAAAACCCATGGCAAACACCTTGTATGATTTTGCTGAAAAAAACATTTAAAGTATCACCGAATCGGGTCGATTAAATTGACTTGTTACATGATTACGGCTATATCAATACCGGCTCATTACGCAAGAAGAAAGTTTTCAATCATTTCCCTTATTAATTTCTTCGGCGAATTTAGCACAATGGTGCCTGCTTTCGGTTGTTTCAATGCCAAATCGAATTGTTGTAAGTGTTTCTTCAACAAATTATTAACAATTATTTGGGCCACCAAGAAGTCCTGATTTGACATATTTTGGTTTAGTTTAACTTTTTGGTAAATTAACCACAGCTATTTTTAATCTGGATATATTTTTTAACCAACAAGGTATATTTTACCAAACTTTTTTTTCCAAATTCTAAAGACTAAAAATAATTTATTATAACCTTTATCCTACCAAAAAGTACTTTAGGCTAATCTGGTTGCCTAATTTAATTTATTATGTTATGGTTGGTAACAAGCAGCGTTTACAGATTCTGTAAAAAAGTTGCCAGATTTTGTTTAAATTTAGCTGAACTAAAAAAATGACAAATTGTTAATTTGGCGTTTTTATTAACTGTTGATTATGTCATTTTCGTAATGAAGGTAAATTCAAACAAAATCTGACAATTTATGACAGAATCTAGCGCATTTCTTTCAAATTTTAGGTTATGGGCCCAAATTGTAAATATTTTAACTTTATTTACACAAATTGAATGTTGTCCCTATTTAATCTGAGTAAACAGAAAGAAAAAAACCGATCCCAATTAATTTTTTTTTAATTAATAAATAAATTCGATTGAAGTAGGTCATGTTTAGGTTGACAACAAAAATCTAGTGCCTCGGGAGGCAAAATTATCGCTTGTTTCAATGGCAACCTGCGATTTCTTCCGCGTTTTGCAGATTGCATAACATGTTGCGTTTGGATTTCGATTGTTACCTAACCTCATTCGCTTGCCATTCGCATTCACGTAAGGCGGCTATGGGTATTGATGCCGGCACGTATCCTGTATACAGGGTAATTCAGAAATAATGTTCTATCAAAAATATAAAAACACCTTTTTCAAAAACTACAGACTTTGGTGCCTAGATGAGTAAAATCATAAAAAAGTAGTTAAATATAGGTGACTACGGTCCAGGAGAGACAAGGTATTCCTAGCGGATAATAATCTTTGCTTTGAAAAGAATTTATATAAAAGAAATTAAAATTTTATGTGAACACACGTGAATGTTGTCCAATCATTGGACTCCAATGGTGAATGGGTATTTTGTTAAAGACACTGGACGTTAATACTTGCAGTGGCTTAATAATAATTATAATGTATATATTGTCCAGGACTATGATCAGTAACTTGCAAATTGAAAGAAGAAAACGTTTCGTGATTATTGCTTATCGTTTTCAAACCAAATGGATGCTATTTTCAAAGACAGTAAAATTAACTACTAGATTTTTATTTCCCCATTAATTTTTAAAATTTCAAAAATGTTTGAGCTACCAACTTAATAAATAACAACAACATTTAAGCATACCCGTACGTAAGTACTTATGAAGCAAGTTCTGTTTGTGCGTGAAAGATTATCAAACGCTTTCACTTCAACAAAATTGTTATTACTTATTACTCCTACTTATTAAAAGATTAACTTAATTGAGAGATTGTAACAATATGTGTTGGTAAGATGATAATTGCAATTACTGTTTAGTAATGGCGGGTTTGGATTTTCAATTGTGTAATTTTTTTTCCAGAGAAAAATGGGAAAAGAAAAACATCAAATTCAACGACAACGGCACCGTTACCTTTCAACAAGAAAAAATCTACATGTTTGATGAAAGTTTGTCAGTTGGCTCTGAAGATGACGTTGTCGTAGTGCCAAATATTCCCATGTTGGTAAGTTATAAAACCAAACTGGTTTAAAAATGCTTACAAAGTAACAATTTTTAATGCTAGGAAACAATTTTCGTATAAATGTTATACTTTCACCAATTTATTATGGACAAATTATTTCTTACATTTTAATCAAAATAATTGATGTTATTTAACCATTTTTATGGTTAAAGAGTTTAAATGAAAGGTCAAATCAAGTAAAATTAACATTATTGATTTTTTTATTATGTACAACTCAGTTTGGAATTATTGCAACAAAAATGTCAAAACGTCATTTTATAGAGCGCACTTAACTTAATATAACCCTCAAATTTTATTAAAATCGGATACAAAATGAAGGAGTTACAGCCTTAACACCCTAGTTAGCACCAAAGGGCTAAATACTTAAACGGCTGTAACACTGTTAATATCAGTGCTATTTCGATAAAATTTTCAGGGTGTACTATCAAAAACACCCTCAATCGAATGGCGTTTGCAGTTTTTCGATATAAAAAACACCAAGGGAGATACGATGTATTGCATTTTTGCTTGTTTGTTATTAGAGCGCCACCTCGCAATCGAAACACGCAGCGAGATTCTTGAGGTTGGCCATGGCGAGCATCATGGACATCCTGAAAATCAAACCGTTCGTCGAGGTTTCGGTAGGCCAGCTACTTTGGGGTTACGAGGATCCCCTTCTTAAGTTGGCCAAGGACGTTGTTCCCAAGGAACAGAAATTGCCGTACGAGGAGTTTGGACTGATGTACAATGTGAGTAGTAACATTAGTGATTTCGACAATTCTATTTGTCCATTTTATGAATTGTAGAAAAATGGTACATCCCAAGACGTAGTAACTATGTTTACTGGAGGTAACGATATCACGAAATACGGGTTAATTGACAACTTTAATGGTCACTCCAAACTGCCACACTACAAAACTGATAAGTGTAACAGTCTTGCAGGGTCAGATGGTTCCATTTTTCCACCCCATATGACCAAAAACACCACAATTCACGTTTACGACAAAGATCTATGCAGAATCTTGCCTTTGGTGTAAGTTACATCACCTGATGTATTATAAACATTTTAATCTACTTATTTATATTTCAGATATGAAAAGGATGTGGTAGCCAGCAATGATATACCGGCCTACAGGTTCACACCTCCCAAAAACGTTTTTGACAGTCCCGAAGACAACCCGGAAAACGACTGCTTCTGCCCCCAAGGGCCCCCATGCGCCCCTTCAGGATTCTTCAACGTATCCCTTTGCCAATACGGTAAGTCCAAAAAAAATTTCAATGTTATTATTAGAATTTTAACCAACATTTTGTTTATTTTCAGACTCCCCTGTTTTGCTATCCTTCCCTCATTTCTACCTAGCTGACGACAAATACAGGACCGCTGTCGAAGGTATTTCACCACCTGAACCAGAAAAACACAAGTTCTATATTGACGTACAACCTGTAAGTTTACTTGGTTTCTTTCTTTCAGCCTTCTCATCTGGACATAGAATTATTTTTCTGGTACTTTCTTGATATCGTCTAGTTTTATTTTTTCGGTCTTCCACTTCAGTATTGCTCTTCTGCTTCTATTATCTGATCTTTGATGGTGAGCTCTGTTCAAACTCATGATCTTTGTTTTGTTTCTTTCTTTCTTTTAGTGCACTTCCTTGATATCGTCTAGTTTGTTTGTTTTTGGGTCTTCCACTTCCTAGATAGCACAGAGACATCTTAAAGATATCTTAAAGATCTCGGACGTTTATGACATCTCTAAGACGTCCAGTTTACGACGTAAGTCGTCTTTAAGATATCTTATGTTACAAGACACACCGTCTTTAAGATGTCCTTTTAACGGCTTTATTAAGTCGTTGCTAAACGTCGTGAAGACGTCTTTAAGATGTTAAAGACTACCTATTGAAAACGTCTTGGTTATGCATTTGTTTATGGGTGATTCTACAAAAGTTGAGCAACTTTTGACCTCATTTTGTTTATATAGTTTTCGGAGAAAATTAAACAGTATTTCGCTATGAGAAAATAGATAATATAATAAATATACTGTTCCAGACCGGGCCAGTCACTTTTTCATACAGTTTCTGAAATATCTGTGTTTTCTAAATTTGAAAGCAAGGAAGTGACGAGTATACCAGGGTACTAATTAAATACATAATTTATTGGAAAAATATAAGATTTATTGCAACTTTGAGCATATTATACATTAAATATCTTAAAATCAAATAATACCACACATCAGTGGCGGCTGGTGGATTTTGGGTATACTGATATCTCAATTATTAAATATGGCACCCACACCAAATTTATGAGTTTATAATGACATTAAATAAACAAGTTCTGCGCAAGCAGAATTTAAATTAAATTTTGCGAAAAAAGATAACCGAAACATCGAACATGGAACTGACGACACGGTACTGATGAATGGGATACAAACTTGAGATTATAATTCGGAATTAAGTATTTTACTGATATTTTTTATTAGTGGATGCTACTTATCAACAAATCACATATAGCCTTATATAAATTACAATGAAATAAATATACGTAAGAAAATAACTACTCACCACAGTACTGAAATTTTGACTGAAACTATACGTGCATTCACCAAAAAAAATAAGCGGCGGTATCAAGCATTTAAGATGTCTTTAAAACATTAAATGAAGATATCTTTAAGACGTCTATCAAAAGACGTCTCTCAGACGTCTTTTTTAGATCTTCAGACGTTCAAGCATAATACAGACATACAAAAGACATCTTCAAGACGTTTTGTGCTATTTGGGTTCAGTATTGCTCTTCTGATTCAATTATTAGGTACTATGGTCCACACCTCAAAGTCCCACCACGTGACCACGTACGGAACGCAGTCTTTTGAAAATTTGGCATTTAAGGCTTTTCAGGTTATGTATCTGTCAAAGTATAGTCAACGAAAGAAATAATATTTATAGTGTTACCGCTTATGTTTAAGCGTTAAAAGTTAATAAATCTCTATAGTATCACAATAACAATGGTTGGTTTAAGAATTTAGGAATATAAATACTGCATTTAATGAAATTCCAAAGTGTAAGGTGCAATATAAGTGATATTTTTGTGCATTGGGTCTACATTTCTCCATAAAATAGTTTTAACTAAACAGCATTTATTAAAAAAAATCTAACTTCTCTATTATGAAATAAGAATATCTGTATCAAAGGTAGGTTAATATATTAGAACAAATAATATCATCTAATTTTGTATTTTAAGGTTAGAAAAATCTATTTTGACCAAAATAAATAAGTGGATTATTTGGAAGAGTGTGTTAATATGGTCATAAATAAATATAGGTATACTAAATAATTGTTGAATATGGTTCAAATACCTCGGCATACTTACTTTAAGTTAGATTTTAAGAAAACAAACAATTTTTAGAGAAACTGCAATGTGAAAATATTTAATACTCCCATGACATGTGATTTATTAAAATTTTTAAAGTTATAATGATTTTTTGATGTAGATCAAATTCAGTCGAAGCTTTTTAACTATTTGTATTGACAAAACTTTATGTAGGTACACTTTAAGCTGGATAAGAAAAACTACCACATTTTTAAATACCATATTATACAGTCTTTTAAATAATCCAAAATACTTATTTATTTTGGTCAAAATAAATTTTTCTAACCTTAAAATTACAAAATTAGATGATATTTTTGTTTTAATATATTAACCTACCTTTAAAACAGATATTCTTATTCCATAATAGAGAAGCTAGATTTTTTTAATAAATGCTGTTTAGTTAAAATTATTTTATGGAGAAAACCAGATATTTGGACCAAATGCACAATTTGGCACCATACACTTTAGAATTTCATTAAATCATTTAATTTAAATGCAGTATTTATATTCTTAAATTCTTAAACAATCCATTGTTATTGTAATATTATAAAGATTTATACATTTTTAACGCCTAAACATAATATTGATTCTTTCGTTGACTATACTTTGACAGATACATAACCTGAAAAGCCTTGAATGCCAAATTTTCAAAAGACTGCGTTCCGTACGTGGTCACGTGGTGGGACTTTGAGGTGTAGAGCATAGTACATGTGTATGTTTTTTAGCTGATGGGAACAGCTATGAGCGCCAAGGCTAGAGTGCAAATCAATCTGGCGGTGTCTCAGGTTGTGGACATCAAACAAGTTGCCACCTTTCCGGACATCATTTTTCCCATCATGTGGTTTGAAGAAGTAAGTACACGATATGACGTATAAGTTAGTGGTGTTGACCAAAAAGTGTTCCTCAGGGTTTGGACTCACTTCCGGAGGAAATGACGAGCCTGATGAAGCTGGCCAATACGGTGCCGCCCATCGCCAAGACCGCCCTTTCCATTGGTCTGTTCGTAGTGGGCGCCATTTTGTTGGCGATCGCCGTGTGGCGATTGGTCAGGGGTGCCAACCGGCTGAGTTCCTTGCATTTGGCACCAGGACACGTGGGAAAGTCCAACGGCAAAGACGTACCAATGTCCAACGTGAGAAACTAAAATCCCCTAGATTTTTTTTTTGTTATACTTGTTTTTATATTAGAGAAAATTTTCATTTTTTGCCATTTTGTAGGTTTTCAGTAATAAATGACTGTTGTTTTTATTGTTTCGGGGTTTTTGAAAAAAAATCGAATTATTATTGCCAATGATTGGCATTTTTTAATAGGATTAGTGAAAATTGCTCATTCATTAAATTTTATACTTACAACAAAAGACAATTTATTTATTGATAAATAGATGGGTTATATGTGATAAGAAATTATATGACAATAAAATTTATTTAATAAATTTTCTGGTAGGGATTAAAAAATGTAAATAGTATTTTTTTTATTTTTGACATTCCATAAAAAAATTATCGAAATCCGTCCAGTTTTACATTTTTGTATATTATTAGTTAGATGAATTATTTTAAAGTAGTTTCCATTGGTTATTTGTAATATATTTTAGTAAAATAAATTTTTATAAGATTACTTTTGTGATTTTTTCCCCTACTACCCAAGCAGCATTTTTGGTTCCAAAAACCATAACCAAAGTGGTGATAACTTTAAATTAGTTAAGTATACTATAGTATTGCTATTTAAAAGTTAGAATTACTTTTAAGTAAAAATTAAAGTAGCTGTTTATAAACAGCTACTTTAATTTTTACTTAAAAGTAATTCTAACTTTTAAATAGCAATATTTTGTAACATTTCCTTAAATGGTTACTAAAAGTAATAAACATTTAAGTAAAACTTGGTTGCCCCCCAGAAGACTTTGCAACTTTAAAAAAGGTGTTATAAGTAAAAAAACTTTCAAGTAAATTTTATTTGTAGCAGTTACTTTCGGTTGCTACCTAAAGATTACATTATAATTATTTTTACTTTGTAGTCCCTTTGCAAGTTAAAATCTCGAAACTGGAACATGGGTTAAAAACTACAAAGTTAATAACTTAAAAGTTATTATTTTAGTATTTGGAACGTTTATGGTACTAACCAAAACTACCGTAAAGTAAATTAAGGTGGAAAAAAACTTTAAAGTAGCGAAAACTACTTCAAAGGAAAATGCTTCTTATCGGCCAATTTTGACTGTACAGTACCACGTGATAATGTAAATAATAAATTATTTTAATTGTTTACTTTTTAATAAATAGTAATAATTAATTTAATTAATAATAAATATTAAGATTTCTTTATTTATAAACATTATTAAATAAATAATTTGTTTATACTTAAATATTGATGAAGCGATTTATTTTACAAAAACTAAATTCATAAGTTTAACAGTAAAATTTAAAGGGTTTATAAATTTACCTGCCTAATTAAACATTATATTGTCATTCTGGAAGTTATAAACTACCAGTACGTATTTAATAAACGACGACATTGAAAAGCCAAGTCCGTAGTGGTTCCATTTAAAAAAGGAGGGATAGTATAATCTAAAATAAGTTTGACAAAGACAGTTAATATAGAAGTAAAAACAAATAAATAAAAGTAATTATAACGCTCTAGCAACGATATTGAAACGTTCTAGTAACGTAGCAGCTACGTTCCAAATAGTAGCAGGGTTTATAGCTAGTGACATATTTGCTACCTTTTTGGAACTCAATAATTGTTCCCCACTTTAGTCGTAATTTAGTAATGAAAGAGTAATATAAAGAGACCGGCGACTGTCGCAAAACACTTTAAAGTTTCTTCAATAGTCCCATATACGTAACAAATACTTAAATTGTTGCTTGGGAAGGCTTAAAACGATTAGCAGAGAAATGGTAGGTACCTATAGCGATTAAAATAAATATCCGGAAATATCCAGACATGTTTTATTTGGTTATTGTAAAAGAAAACACAATGAAAAGTATTTATAAACATTGTTTTTGTATTTTTTCATAGTTCTTATAACAACGCAGAATCAATGTTTACAATATAAGTAGTTTATGTCAATTCATACTTTGGAATATCTGATGTAGACAACCAATGCATGGCCATGTAAGTATACTGGGTTGCCTAAATACAAGGTTCAATAGCACAAGTATTAATAATTTATTATTATTAATTTGTAAAACAAAGCAGACTTAGCAACTTTTTTTATTGAAATAACTACATTAAAACGTGTAGTAATTAAATATACCATCATAGCCATTTTTAACCATACATAACCACTGTTTATTCCATGTCAATGCAAGCATATTTAATAATAAAAACAAGGAAGTCATTTTACGCATTTTTGTTCCCATTTCGTTATATACACCCGTGATTACGTGACGCGTATAAATTTTATGTCCACGAAAAATTTCTCAAGATAAAAAAATAATTTTTTGTAGGCTAAATTCCATTTATGTTGAAATGTAGGTGAGTAATAATTTGGATCATACCTACATAAATATGTTTAGTAAAGTTATCTAACAATATAAAAATAAAAAATAATGTAATAAATGTAATAAAAATAATAAAAAATATTTTGAATACAAAAGACCATTTAAGAGATTTAAAAAAAGTAGATATGGTATTAACTTTCCTAATTTTAAAATTTTACAACTGTCAATTAATTTAAATCTAACTTCAGCCTGTGACTAAAAACCTGTTGATAACTTCAGACAGTGACGCAACAACTTGTCAATGTGTATTCATGGAAACTTCCTATTGATTTTATGGGTTTCTTCTTATTTATTACGGAATCTTTTTATAAAACATGTTCTTTTAAAGTTGTAAATTATTAATGCAAGAATAATATTTTTTATTTATTTTTATTTAATACAACAGGTCATAGGTATCTACTAAAATTTATTCTATAGAATATATTAATTAATTCTATATGCTTAATACTACGATGTAAAGAAAATATCAAAGCAATCCAAATTGCAAAACTCAAAAACAAATTCGTTTTTTTAAGTTTATAAAATATATATGGGTGATTCTACAAAAGTTGGGCAGAAAATTTAACAGTATTTTGTTATGAGAACATAGATAATATAATATATATACTGTTCCAGACCGGACCAGTCACTTTTTCAAACAGTTTCTGAAATATCTGTGTTTTCTAAATTTGGATGCAAGGGAAGTGACGAGTATACCAGGGTACTAATTAAATACATAATTTATTGGAAAATATAAGATTTATTGCAACTTTGAGCATATTATACATTAAATATCTTAAAATCAAATAATACCACACTTCAGTGGCGGCTGGTGGATTCTGGGTATACCGATATCTCAATTATTAGATATGGGACCCACACCAAATTTATTTATTTATTTATGAGTTTATAACGACAATAAATAAACAAGTTCTGCGCAAGCAGAATTTAAATTGAAGTTTGCGAAAAAAAGATTTGAGATTATAATTCTGAATTAAGTATTTTACTGATATTTTTTATTAGTGGATGCTACTTATCAACAAATCCCATGTAGCCTTATATAAATTACAATGAAATATACATACGTAAGACTGGAACTATACGTGCATTCACCACAACTTCGCCGCTTGCATTGTTTTCAAGATGACTGTCGTGCAAAGGGCGGGCTCTGTAGGTAATTTTTTACCAACACTTGAGTTAAAACGAGGACTTGACGTTTAAACTTCAATATTTCGCAGGAATTTTGAATTTTAACATTGGACACAGAACTGACGGGTAAAAGTGAGTACAAAGATTATCATTTTTTTTAAATTGCTATTATTCGAATCTATGATAAAATATGAAAAAAACATTATTTAATGTTTTATAGTTTGTAGTGAAATTAAAAAATTTAAGATAAATTGAATATATTTTAAAATAAAATCACTCAAATATTTGATTCAGGAGTTGTGACACGCCAAGGTACTGATTTTTTGAATATTTATTATGTTTTTTTACAAACGTGCTTTTGAAAAAATACTCTGTTGTTTTTAAGATACAGAATTTATTTCAATTAAGTTTTCAACCCTGTATATTTTACACACTTAATACGAACTGTTCTCTTAATCTTTGATTTAATCACTAACGTTTTAACAAAACCATAAAAATACAGAAATTAATAAACCAGTTGCATTCTTTTACCGTTGAAATTAGGAACAAAAATAATAGTTTTTTATAGGTGAGTGTTAAAAAACCTTATAATGAGCCAATTAAAATAATAATTGACAATTATGATTATTGGGCAATGTTCTGGTCATAAACAAAGATTTGGAAAATTTTCGGCAATCTATGGTGAAATGTTAAAATGGTTCGAGCGTTGCTGATGTTTACGAAAGTGTTTCACGCGCGCTGAGCGGACCACGTCCCTATTAATAAATACGAGGTGTGTTAAGAAAATATCGGAAATTTTCGTTTTTTGACACAAATATTTATTTATTCGTCTACATTAATGTTGTCGCCTTCAAAATAGTCCCCATTGGATATTATGCACATGTGCCAGCTCTTCTTCCAATACTCGAAACACTTCTAAAACTCGATCTTTGGGATAGCCTTTAGTTCTTTCAGCGATGCGCTTTTAATGTCATATATGCTTGCAAAACGACGGCCCTTTAAGGTTCTCTTTCTTTTTGGGAATAGGAAAAAGTCAGACAGAGGCATGTCTGGCGAATATGGAGGCTGGGGCATCATTACAGTATTGTTTTTGGACAAAAATTTTGTTCAAAATTTAACAATTTTAGAACAAATTTTGCTGCCACGCTTTTCATACCCAAAACATTCGAACAAATTTCATAGGATGAGCCAATCGATATACCAACATCATCAGCGACTTCTCTGATGGTTTATAACCATTTGTTCCACTTTTTCCATGTTTTTATCGGTTGTTAATGTGCTTGTGCGTTCGGGGCGTTTGTCATCTTCAACGTCTTCACAGCCATCTTGGAAACTCTTATACCACTTGTAAATTCTTGTTTTACTTATAGCAGACTCACTATAGGCCTTTGTTAACATTTCACAGAATTTATTTCATTTTTTAAGCAAAATTGGATACAAATTCTTTGATCCATTTCTTTTAACGCACGAAAAATCGCCGAGCTCATAAAACACGTCTAACCTTAGCGGCTGCCACAGACAAAGTAAACGATGAAAACAGCTAAAGTTTTTATCATACCTCGGGGGCATGTATACCGACATAATAAGGAAAATTTTATGACAACCGGACCCTCCGAACCCGCGAAATTTAACAATTCCCGTTATTTTCTGAACACACCTCGTATATCACATGACTGAAGATGTAATATTATTTTATTTTTGATTCGATTGCTTTGGATGTGTTTAATTTACTTAGTGAACTGATATTTTTAGTATGCTTTTACTATAGTATATACCTCAGATATTTGAAAACATATAGGTTAACCTAGAAAGAGTAACAGTCACGGAGGATAGGTTTTAGACTTTTAAAACATTTCGTGAGATTCACCCATTACCTAATATTTTTTAAAATTAATTGTAGTTTAACATGAAAACTACGATAGCATCTATCATGTGTGTTATACTTATGAAACCTGAATAAAAAAAGCATAACATCATAAATCAAATATCTAGAAAACCACCTAACCTTACTAAAACGCGAAATAGCACGACAGACTATTAACAAACAAACAAAATTTGATGAAACACAACAATAAACATAATATTAATAATAAATGCGTATCAGCGCAGGCCAAGCATGGATAGATCGCTATAGCCAGGCCACTCTCCTCGGGATATTCAGTTAGACATCAAGTTACCGTGTGGTCGCGCGGTTAGATTGGATTTTTGCGCGCTGTGTTGTGGTAGGACTGTTCGGTGACTATTTTTTTCGTTTGAAGCTACTATAGGTAAGTTATATACATTTTAGTGGTCTAAAGTAAACAAAATATTATATATTGTTATAAGGGTACACAAATACGAAATATTTTTTTCTAAACTATTTACATTTTTTAATTTTATCATGTTTTGCAGTAATGCACTTAAAATGCATTATTTATTTATTTAAATCTTAACCAAGGGCGATTTTTTTATACTTTGTTTTCACATATAATTATATGTGAAGCTATATTACCAAATTTAAATATATAATTAACTATTTTAATAAATCCTAACACTAAACAAAATTTTATTTACGAATAAAACTGGTTTGAATATTAATAGCAACATTTAGTCAGACTAAACAAACACTGTAAAAAATAGGATTTTAACGAGGATAAAGTAATTTTACACTGTATTAAAAAGTGTTAATTTATCTAAAATCGTGTACTTCTACACTTCCTGGGTAAAATCCCACTTTTATTTGAGTAAAACCTATTGGTGGTAGTGAATAAAACGAAAAGGTAAATAAAGAGAAACATTTATTTGGAACAAAAATCTATTACAATTATCAAAATCGGTGCCTTTTAAAATATAATTTTATATTTGAGTCGTATGGCTGGCTTAAGCAAAATGGTTCCTTAAAACGTAAAAATTTTAGATCAATTCAATGTTTTACTGGCTGTCAACTTGTAAGCAATGAATTATCTTGAGAATTCATCAGTAATCCATTTTTCTGTTATAAAAAATGGGTGATCCCATTGGTAGAGAGGCGTCAGGCGGCTGTATGTCGGGGATTTACCACACGTGTACAAATTTAATTTTAATAAAAATGTAGGTATAGGTTAATATAACAACCATTACTCTTGAAAATAAAAAGTAAATCAAGTTTGTATACATATATGTATTTATATTATTAATGATACAAGTACCCGACCTACTGCCGTAAATTATTGATATATAATATAGGTCGGGTATGGACATCCTTTTAACATATTGGTATTTAAAGAAAAAGGAAGTATAATACTTACCAAAAAATAAGAATGTCCCCTTATGGATTCACCGTAATTAAATTATCTCCGGATATGCACTGCGTAGGTAGATAGGTACCAACCAAACATTTTAAAACGCATTTCGGTTATTACCAGTTTTTTCAGTCTATTTTGCCACTATTGGTGTAATTTAACTTTAATTGTGATACAATGTGCACTAGTAGTGTTAAGAAAAAAGAGCTCTTAGTAACATCAAAACAGACAAAGAAATTAGCATGCACTGTAGTGTACATTTTGTCACTATTTAACACATTAAGGGGTAATAAACACTCGCATTAAGTTTTTCTACCCTTTTAATTTATTTTAATGTACCAATGAATAATGTTCATATTCTTTAAATGTGTTTAATAAAGTTAATAAGCACTAAATGCTACCTAGTGTATTTTGTAGTGTAACTTTTACACTTACAAATCGACTCTAATATTTTTACCCAAACACTAATAAATTTACACGGGCAATTTTTTTTACTGTGTATACTAATAAATACATATGTTATCTAACCATGTAAATTTTCATGAATTACCATATTTTCACTGAACATATTACATTGATGAAATATATGAGCGATTTAAATGCAAATAAATACCTACATAAATGAATAGGTTTACGCGAAATACAAAATTGGTAAATATTTTAACTGGTTGGACTAGATTTTTGGTTATATAAGATGTTCAAGTTATAATTATCATTGGAAAATTCCAATTATAATATTATATTACATAGATATTATTATAAAATTATTGAATAAATAATGATTTTGACCTGCATATTTTAAATTTACCTACGTTACGATGTTGATTTATGATTTGTGTTTTTTTTTACAAAAACTATCCTTCCCATTAATTTTTAATTAAGGTGAACTAACATGTTTTGCATTTTTGGCTGTAAATAGACTCCAACAGTGGATGAGACAACGAAACTTTTTTGTTTTTTAATTAAGAAATAAAACAACATTTGAATACCCTTGATCTTGAAATAAACAACTTTAGTAAAGTACACAAGTTAACGTAACAAACCCATCAATAACTATTAATTAATATTAATGACCTAGAATTATCGATCAATGGAAAATTTGTTTCAAATTGACCAAATATAAAATATCATTCCGATAAATATTTAAAAAAAACTTGTGAAGATCAGAAGCTTTTGAATGAAGCAATACATACTATTATTATTATTATAAAGACATTTGCTCTAAAATCAAAATAAAATGTGGTTAGGTTAATAGTGTTACACTAATTAGTGTTATTAGTGTATGCTTTTGTAGCAAGACAAATTTTCTTTCTTAGAAAGTTCCTAAGCTTCCCAATTAAGAGATGCAGTTTTCTTGTTAAAATCCCATTATTTTAGTTTCATTTAAAAGAGAAATATCTTCCGAAGAAATATATATTCTGTACCAAGAAATCGCTTCCTTCCTAATAAATTGATGTGAAGATAGTTTCTGTATTGGATTAAGAAACATGGCTCTTGGCCCTATATATGTATTCAAAAGCTCAAATCCTTTTAATCAAAGTGATTTTCATTTCTTTTAGGAGATTATTTTTTTCAGTGTATTCATAAGTTATAACAATAATATCAAATTTCATAGTTACAGTGGGAAGTTAATAAACAAAGAGAAAATAGCTAAGCATGTATTAACAGATAAGCAAACTGCAGAAATAATAGGTACTTTAACCATTCTGTTGATTTATTGTATATCTTGGTAATTAAAAAACCTTGCAGAAATACTTAAAATGATTTAACAATAAACTTAGCACTTCAGTTTCTTCTCTTAGCAAATGTCAAGTTGTGTAGATAAAAGTTATTATTTCTGGGTGAATATATTTTTAATTTCCAAGTAAAAAGTGCAAAACATGGCAACATAATATTGTATATTAATTATATAATATAATACCCGTTTTTTGTTTTTTGCCGTTGAGTAGGAACTTTCTTAATCAACGATTCTCTAGACACTCGTTTTTATTAAAGACTCGCTCGAAATCTTCGCACGTGCCTACTTAAACCTAAATACACAATATTCTATTATGTTGATTTAATAATAAACAAGCATTTAGCGTAATTCGAGCAAAACCAAGTAGTAGCACACCCATTCAAATCATTTTGGTGTAAATCTGTGTCTTAACAGTTTTCACTTTCTAATAAAAACTGGTTTTCGTTCGTAAGAATTAACTTCCCTTATGAAATATCTGTGTATTTGTTGGAATTGAAAGAGTAAAATACATCGCACAGTAATCCTATGTGTTATTAATTAAAAAATAAAAATAATTTTTTTTATTACAATTAGGTACATTATTATTTTTCTCTACAAGCGTGCGGAAAGTAGCACTTTTCCGCACGCTCGACATTGAGGAAATTAAAAAATGTTAAAGGTAAAAATGAAAATTGCTTGTGGAAAAAATATTGCACCTTATATAAGTGTCTTTTCCGCACTAGTTGAGTAAACAACTGTTATATAATAGTATATTAAAGAACTAATATCATAAAATTCTATAAAAAAAAATTAATTTTATATCTTAAATTTAATTTGTTCAAATTTTACTTTAAATAGTTGGTATCACAGTCATTGGTCTGACAGTTGTTGTCCTTAATTTACTTATTTACAACAAGCGGCTGTTAATGTTAAAGAAGAAAAAAGGATTTTCTTTGGTGTTAAACAAAATTTATTGCCAAAAATGCTAGAAAAATCATAAAAATATTATAACCAATATGCAAAATATTATGCTGTTTAAAGTATAGCCTAACAATAAAATCAAAATTTTGGGTGGGATAAAGGTGTTATAATGAAGTCATTATGAACGGAAAATAGATAAAGAAAATTCAAATCCTAAACTTGCATTAAAATCAAAACCAAGGTAAAAAAGAGTTACAATTTACATCACTGTGTCAACCTGACGGTTGGTATTCATGAATTTGAAAGTATTTTGTAACGATTTTTATTTCCCCAACGAAATATCAATGAATATAAATCTTTGATTATGCACACCTGCAATTTTATTTAATAATATGTATATTATTATGATCATTGAATTTATTAAAAGGACCACCCACTTAAAATGTGTTAAAAATGCTCAAAACTGTTGATTTTTGAATGTTTATTTATTTGTTAATATAAGCAGATTTAAAACAAATTCATTTAAAAAAATTAGCAACTAAAAAGTTTGAAGGTTGTTAATATTTGTTGAAGAGAATAAATGACATAAAACGCTAATAATAATAATAATAATAATATTAATATTATAAACCTTGACTGTTTTAATATTTATTTAACATGGTCATCATTAATTATACGCCATATTATTTTAATTATTTCATTATTAATTGTGTTTATAATTTTTTTATTTATATAAAAAATTAATAGGTAAAGTCAAAGTTCTTTTAATTTAAATATTATTAATGCTTACAACAAATAATTCGATTATCTAAGTTTTTACATCCTAGTCTGTATAAAGCTCACTAAAGATGAATTCCATTTTTTTCATTAAAAAAAAATGTCTTCCGAAGATAAATTTTTGGCTTAAACAAATAGATAAATCTCTCCCCTCAAGTAATTTAAAAAAATGTATGTAAATATAGTTTATGATTTAGATTAAGAAACATTCAAAAGCGCCAATCTTTTGAATTAAAGTGACTTTCATTTCTTTATAAGAGATTATTTTTTTCAGTGTGGGTATTTCGATTGCTCTGATATTTTATTTGTTTTCTTCCACTAATAATTTTTTTCTTCAAGCAATAAATGCTCTTTTATGCTAAAATTGTTTCTTGCCGCTAAAATTTTTTTATCAAGAGAGTTGACTAATTTAGTTTAAGGGTACCTTTTTTCAGTGTAAAAATATTGTCTATAAACAAAAATAAATTTAACTAAGCCAAGTTTAGTGGATCTGGTTTCAAGGTAAGGTTAATTGCCAAACTTTAAAAAAAAACCTGCAAAAATTTCCTAATCCTTTAATTATAAATTTATCTATATTATTAAACTGCAATAATTTATTGCCAAATATTTCACAATTTTCTAGATCATGGTCATGTTTTTTGAACTTTGTAAGTAAAGATGTATTTCAGTAATTTTTTATAATAATAATTTTTGTTGTTTTAAAGATTTTAGTTTTTTTCTTATAAATATATAAAAAGGATTGTTTGTTTGTTTAAACCTTATTTACGTTTACTTAAAAATAAGAATATTTAAATTTTTAATAATAGTTTTATAAAAACATGCAAAAAGTATAGTAATTGGACATTTTATATAGTAATTGGACACATGGACCATAGTTCTTGGACATGCAATTTTTATATAAACATAACAACTTTCCATCAAATAACATAAATAGTTAAATATTTTTTAAAGATAATTGCTGTTTAAGGTAATTTTTTTTATTTCGTTTTTGTAAATATCATATAATTCATATATTTCTTTCTCGAATTCCTCATCCCTTTTCTGGATTCTGAACTACTAATTCCTTGGTATGACTTCTGAAATAGTTTGTTGCAAATATCATTAAGTGTGGTATCTCTAGTTTGTGAAGCATATGTGATAATGTTTAGGCCGGAACAGGATGATTTATATATATCTAATATTTTTTCGTGTGGTATGTTAAAAGTATTTTCCGAATTTATTAATTTAGTTGCCATTAGTTTTTTATCACGAAGAAATCACTATATTACTTACTCTCTAAAAATGAATTAGTCAAAAATGTCATAGCGAAAAAGCAGCCACTATATTATAATAATTCTCGTTAACAGCAATTTGTATCCAGGCAATTCCTATGAAATATTATTCGCTGAATCCGAAAATGTCGTCAAAAGTTATAAAAGTAGAGCAGTTTTTGAAATATAATCAATTTTACATATTTTATGGAATTGACTATATCTCAAAAACTGCTTAACTTTTGTAGTTTTTTACGGTCTTTTCGGATTCAGGGGACAATTTTACATAAGAATTGGCTGGTAAATGTCCGGGATACAAATAGAGTATGATATTGGACATGTCCAATGATAGAAATTTACATTTTTTACCAACCAGTAATTGGACACTGGCCATTTTACCGTTTGTTTTCAGAATTAAAATTAAAACGCATTAAAGTGACAATGTTTAAACCATGAGGAACACATTTATACCACACACTGATCTGTACACTTTTTAGAAATATTTTTTATTGTAATTTAAACACAGCCCTGCTCTTAACAAAAAAAACAAAAATCTTACCACCAAAGTAACAATAAAATATTTATAATTTTTTATTTTTTTTCAGATTCTCAAAAATGAACATACCTGAAGACCGGATTTCGGGCATTTACAAGGACAAGTCGGTCCTTGTTACTGGAGCCAGTGGATTCCTGGGAAAATTATTGATTGAAAAAATCCTGAGATGTTGCCCGGAAGTCAAAATGATTTACGTGCTGATCAGGAAAAAGAAGGGGATGGCCGCTCCAGAAAGACTCAAGTCCATTTTTGCAAATCCTGTAAGTCATCTTTTAACTCGCTGTAAAAACTGCCTCTATATCGGTTTCAAACGGTTGTTAGTCCATTTTCTTTAACCTTTAACCTAAATGGTTATTTTTTAGACATAATTATACTTAAGTATGCGCTAAAGAAGTATCGGGTTTAAGAATTGTCAACAATACATTTAAAGCATACGAACTGTACAACACGTTATTTGTGTTTTTTTCGTTGCAAGGAAACAACTAAAAAATTGGTTTAGTAAGTACTCGATTTTGATTGATTATTCTTTATATCATTGATTAAGAAACTCAACGCTTAAATGCTTATATAGTTACGTTAGTGCGTGTATTTTATCTAAGGGATCATGATGAATTATTGTGTTTTTAATTGTAAATAAAATTCAAGAACTAAATCGTTGCATTTTCATGTTTTGCCAAAGGATCCAATTCGGTAAGTACATTTGTTGGTGCAGAATTAACTAATGATAACTTTACCTAATATAATTTATATTTAAGTTTGGACATTTTTAAGAAATTAGTAAAAAATAATTTTTGCACAAACATAACCTTAAAATCAACCATTTTTATATTTGAGTTCTCTAAAAAAAGCCGACAACTGCATTTTAAACAACAAAATGTACCTACGAATTCATGGCAACATACTATTATATATAATACATAATATAATGGTATTTTACCGTTGAGTGGAGGCTTTCTTAAACAACGCTTTTAATAATGCTAAATGCTATTTAAATTTAGACGACTTATTTGTTTGACGATTTTTACTGAATTGAAATGTTTACACTTTTCACATTAATTACTACTAAAATGTGTATTTATTGTATCTAATAGGTACAATTTATACTTACAGAGACTGCATGCAATTTATTTCTTCATTTGGATTAACACTGTTTATTGGAAAACCGGTAAAAACTCAACCCAGGATTTTCTCTCGAAATACACCCAACAACACAACAAATCGAGCCACGGTTTTTTTTCGATATTTTTTAACATTTTCCGGCTTTATTCTCAAAAGTTGTACTTTTGTTACGGAGTTAACAGCCATACTTGTTTAGCGTATTGTTTGATGTCCATTCTAGCAAAAGGAAACGCCATTAATTTTAATATTTTTCTAGGTTTTTGACATGTTAAGAAAAGAAAATCCCGAAGCTTTCAGAAAATGCGCTACAGTTACAGGAGATGTATCTGAAGTGGATTTGGGTATTTCAACGTATTACAGAAAATTATTGTCTGAAGAAGTCGACTATATTTTTCATTGTGCTGCCACTACAAGATTTGACGACCCACTGAAAGTTTCTGTTCAAATAAACGCAAGAGGAACGCACTATATGCTTCAGTTGGCCAAACAATGCCAAAAACTAAAAGTATGTTTTTTAATTTCAAGATATTCTTTATTATATTATATTATTTTTTTTAGTTATTTGTTCATGTTTCCACCGCATTTGCTCATTACAGAGAAGAGATAGTCGAAGAAAAAATTTATGAATTCCCCACAAACCCACTCAATCTCTTGGATTCTTTGGATTGGACTGATGAAGAAGCCCTACAAAGAATAGCTGCTGAGTAATTTTTTATTTACATTTTAATCGATATCATCATTTAACAATATTTTTTACAGTTTATTTCCTGATCTACCAAACAGCTACACTTTTTCCAAGATGTTTGCCGAAGCCTTGGTTGCAAAAGAAATAAACAATCTTCCAATAGTTATTACAAGGCCAGTAGTAGGTAAGTCTGATCACCATTAAGTAAATATTTGTCCCATTAGCGTTTAATAAAACTTACATACACTCAAAGAATTATGATAAGTTAATTTAACTATAAAAAGAGTTTAAGTAACAATATTGCCAATTTTGTAACATTAAACAATAAAAATTGTATTTTTAAACATATTGTGATTGTAAATACAATACATTAAAATTTGTTAGCGAACAAAATAAGCTTTTACCTAAAATTGGGTGTTCTTGACAATTATTTTTGTTTATCTCACCTCTAATTTGTTAAATCAAACAAAATAATTGTAAACTTACAATTTAAATACTATTATATTGTATTTTTAATCATAATGTGTTTACTTCACTATCCTACAAATACACGAACCTATTAAAAGAGTAAAAACAACCATAAATGGTGTTTAGGTAAACACATTAAAGTCCGTGTACCTTATTTAAGGGATTGGATTTACCAGTCCGCCATAGAAAATCGTATGTTTTCGGTACCCGGCCTACCCCCTTCTTCCTCGTGTTTGTCTCATTGTAGTTCTAGATTTGGGCGGTAATTAACGTGTGTGTTGCTCGGAAATTGTAAGAAAATCAAGGCCTTGGTGTTTAGGACCTAATGTAATATTCTGGTGAAGTGAGGTGCATAATATGCACTACATAATATACATATACTTAAGTGTAAAAATTTGGTAGAAATGGATCATCACGAGCCCTTCGAAGATTCACTAGATTTTACAAATATATTGGTTGATTCAATTTTAAGCTCGGCACAGACAGACACAGAATCGGATTTGCAGTTAAGAAGTTTGCTATCCAGCTGGGGGTTTGGGTACTTATTCGACCTACTAAAAGGTATGTAAACCATTTTAGTAGGACCAATGGTAATTATATTCATTATAAAAATTTAGTAATAAATTCTGTTACGAAAAGAGTGTTTTATTTTTCATCAATTTTAAATATCAGCGTACACCACCTAATTTGGTGCCCAACTAAAGAACATGTTTACTTAAACAAAAAAAAAAAGTCATCCAACAAAAATAATTATTAAATAGCATAAATAATTGTTGGCTTACCACCTAATTTGATGCCCAACTAAAAAAAAAGTAATATAATAAAAATAATTGTTGGTATACCTTTTAATTTGTTTGGCTAGCTACTATTTGTTTGCAGCGCCAATTAATTTGTTGTAGAACTATAATGATGGGTAAACCAACTAAATTTAATGTTTGAAGTAACAATAAAAAAAGTACGGTTACAAATTGCACTTTACAATTCAATATTGGCTATTTTAACTATAGAACTGGGTAGACGCATTTTCATATGCTCTTTGTGGTTAATTTTACCTACTATTTTGTTTGAGTGTACATGTTTTTTTTAAACATTGAATAACGAGAACTTTGTGTTGCTTTATAGCAATCCACAACATCCTTAATTAATACAGTAAACAATTTAAATATAAAATAATTAATTTTAATCTACTTTTTTTAAATTTGACTCATGTCCCAGACATTTTTTCCGTTGCGTTACGTCTGTCGCGTTACCGATAGAATATTTAAAAAAAACATATATATGGCAACTTTTTTGGTACTCACGTGATCAACAAATGATGTTCGGGCGTACACATTACCCAGCTGAATTTATTTAATTAATCAGGAAGAAGATATCGGTTGAAACAGGTGCGGGTAACGCGAATGTAATAATTGTTTGTTCGCTAAGTTACTCAAAAAAATAATAAAAATATGGTAAGAAAAAATACTATTTTTCATGTTTATGTTTATTTTAGGGCACTAAAGCTCATTGAGAGTAATTAATGACTATAATGTCTTATTATTATTTTTTAAATATGGTTTTACAAAACTTTGTCCACTGCGTTACCGAGTCCACTTATGGTAACGCAATGGAATTTAGGGTAACGCAATAGAATTTTTCGACAACAAAGTGGATATTTACCGTCGCTTTTATTAAAAGTAGTTTATGATTAACCAATTTAAAATTATTTGTAATTACAACTCATGATAAAGATTACATCCAAGGAAAAATTCCATGCAATATAAAAGTACTAAAAGGGACCTTCACCAGCTTATAGTCAAAGAAAAAGGGTGTCTACAATTTAGAAATCTAAGTTGTTATTCTCCAAGTGAGCACCACTACAAGGAATTTTGTTTATGCATTACTCTAAAATCGTACCACCCTATGTAGTTTCTTTTTTACGTTATCTGATTAAGTCCTTTGTGTACCCCTGTCCGTTGTGATACCAATGTCTATTTCTTTACTTTTTTTAGTTTTTGTTAAAAAAAATACTTAAAATGATTCTATACACTATCACTTGGTAATACGTGTTTATAAATTAGAGTTTAATTCACTAATACAGTGACTAAAAGAAAATATTAATGGTATTTTTTTAACAAAGAATCGGAATGGTTTTTTTTTAAAGTAACTTAACGAACAGTCAAAAGTTAGTGAAGTACATTTTATTTCAAATTATTTTTATAACAACTTTTTTATTGAAATTAATTTTGGATTTCAACACAGTGGAGATATATAAAGCTAGCACACATTTTACTGAAAAAAAAGTAAAAAAAATTAAAAAGTGCACTGCCTGTCTTAAATGTAAGTAAACAAAACTTTAAACATTTATAAAAATCCAACCAAAAGTCAATTTAAGCAAAAAAAATATTTTGATCTTCATTTTCCTGAAAGCGGGTGTTTCTTGAAATTGACCCATATATTTGCAAGGTACTTTTCAGAATCGAATATGTTGACCACAGTGATGATGCCTTCAGATTTTTGGACTAAAAATACAAGAAAAAATTGGAAAATTTATTTTTTTAAAGCATTAGCTTCCACCTTTCCCAAAAAAAAGCTAGCATAACATTTTCACTGACACCTTGTACCCCTTGATTGTTTCTCCATTGACATAATTGTTCAAAAGTTTTACCATATTTTTCTTTTGACTTACATATTAATTAATCAAAAACCTAATTAACCAAGTTAATACTTACTTAATTTTTAATATACATACATATGCAAACAAAAGAAATCGCTGTCGACCCACTTTCATGTGAAATTATGTGTTTGTTTCATTTTAAGAATTTTAAGAAAATTTTTATTTCGCAAGTAAATGTTAATATAATTTAGATTTGTTGTCGTAATAACTTGCGCAATTAAAAAAAGTTAATGTACATCAGTTACCTATAAACTATTAAAATGTTATATGATAAGTTATTAAAAATAATTATTTCTTCTAGGAAAATAATTATGGATAATGATTTTTAAGGTGCTTGCTCTTTAGTCTTTGGAACGATATTAATGTTATATGGGTGATTCCACAAAAGTTGGTCAACTTTTGACCTCACTTTGTTTATATAGTTTTCGGAGAAAATTAAACAGTATTTTGTTATGAGAACCTAGATAATATAATAAATATACTGTTTCAGACCGGGCCAGTCACTTTTTCAAACAGTTTCTGAAATATCTGTGTTTTCTAAATTTGAATGCAAGGGAAGTGAAGAGTATACCAGGGTACTAATTAAATACATAATTTATTGGAAAATATAAGATTTATTGCAACTTTGAGCATATTATACATTAAATATCTTAAAATCAAATAATACCACACATCAGGGGCGGCTGGTGGATTTTGGGTATACCGATATCTCAATTATTAGATATGGGACCCACACCAAATTTATATGAGTTTATAATGACATTAAATAAACAAGTTCTGCGCAAGCAGAATTTAAATTGAAGTTTGCGAAAAAAAGATTACCGAATCATCGAACATGGTACTGATGTATGGGATACAAATTTGAGATTATAATTTGGAATTAAGTATTTTACTGAAATTTTTTATTAGTGGATGCTACTTATCAACAAATTACATATAGCCTTATATAAATTATATATACGTAAGAAAATAACTACTCACCACAGTGCATTCACTACAACTTCGCCGCTTGCATTGTTTTCAAGATGACTGTCGTGCAAAGGGCGGGCTCTGTAGGTAATTTTTTACCAACACTTGAGTTAAAACGAGGACTTGACGTTTAAACTTCAATATTTCGCAGGAATTTTGAATTTTAACATTGGACACAGAACTGACGGGTAAAAGTGAGAACAAAGATTATGAATATTTTAAAAATTGCTATTATTCGAATCTATGATAAAATATGAAAAATACATTATTTAATGCTTTATAGTTTGTAGTAGAATCACACTTATATATTTGTTTTAATATGTTTATTATTATTGTTACTATTACTCTTTTAGTCAATTAAAAAGTATACAAAGCACTAAAGAAAACAGCAAATGTTTGTAATGTATCTTGACTTATACTTAATTGTTTACCTACTTAAAGTAAGTGGGCTTGACTAAAGCCATACAAATACTCCAATGTTAATTGTCCGATGAAATTTTGTTTATAAAAAGTAAGTTCAAGGCCGCCCATAATAAAGTCATTTGTTTTTTTTTTAGTTGGTAATGTTTGCTACGAGCCTTATCCAGGATGGGCAAACAGCCTTGTAGGTCCCATTGGTTTGTTCGTAGCAGCTGGTAAAGGTATTCTTAGGATTTGCTATATGAACAAGGATACATCTTGCAGGATGTTTCCTGCTGACATAACCATTAACGGTATGATGGTCAAGGCTTGGGATTTTTTGGAAAACAAGTAAGTATATATCAAATTTGGTCGCCTAATAAAAATAGTGTTGTTTTAACTCTAGCCCTGATAGCAAAATTTGATTTTAAGAATCTTCTAAAAAGATATGACCCGGAATAATGGAATATTCTTAGAACCTTCCCTTATTGCTAAGAATGTTCTTAGGGACTTTTAAAACATTCAATAGATACCCTTTTAATGATGCAATTTGATTCTTAAAAGCTTCTTAAAACCTTCCTAAAAAGCATCCTAAGAACATTTTAAAAATACGTTTTTGGAATGTTCTTAAAAGGTTTCTTATGGAGCTTCTAGGAAGCTTTTGAGAATATTTCCAAATATGTCAGATACCCACGTTCTAATATGTTGTATTCTACATTCGTAAAATTCTTCAGGAGACGACAAATACGCCTCACTGTCATAATATGACAGTGAAATGTATTTGTCGTCCCCTTAAAAAATTTTGCGACATATTAATTTATATTTATTTAAAAATATTAAATAAACAAGTTGACCTCTAAACCATAAGTTTAATGACATTATTTCATAAAAAGTAAAATTGGAAAATTTTGTGTGATAAGTCAGATTAGATTGAAGTTGAAGATAGTTAGGATTATTATACATAAAAATGTTAATTCAGAAATAAAAAATCGGTATACAATTTAATAAATATTTATTTTTAACATAAAACAAAATACCCATAGTAAAAGTATTTTTGTTATCGAATATTGTTTTAATTTGATAAATAACCATAAAAAAATATTTTGGATTGTGTTTTTTACTTACTAATTACTAATTGGCTACTTAAGTATATTTATATACCTTTATACGTAATTAATGGTATATTTTACTATTATATAGGTAACTGAACTAAATATTTTAACAGGAATATTCCTAAATAAACTTTCTATAGCAATAACTTTCTTAACATTCTAAGCATATGTTTAGAGTAGACTAATTTTTACCACTAAAACTTTGCTCCTTCTAAGAACCTGCCTAAAGGCTAGTAAGAATATTCTTAGGATCATGCTATATTTCTTTTAAGCATGTTCTTTAGAAGAAATATAGCATGATCCTAAGAATATTCTCACTGGAAGGTTTAAAAAACATTCTTAGAATAAAGTGTGCTATCGGGGAAAGTGTAATGATATAATTTTTTAGGGGACACAATGTTGCCAACCTCTACATTAGAGACGAGGAGTTCAGGGTAACATGGGAAGACGTCATAGAAACGGGCAAAAAAATTGTAAGGGAGAAAGCACCATTCAACGTTATGTTGTGGTATCCAGATGGTTCCATAACAGCGAACAAGTTCTACTACTTGATCAATTTTTATTTGTTCCACCTTCTACCAGCGATTTTCGTCGACATTTTGTTGGTACTCATGGGATACAAACCAGCGTAAGTAACCTTAATTAGAAGGTATCGCAACAACTGTTTTATGCGTGAATCTTTTGAAGGCTCTTCAAGGCCCAACGCACCATCCAGAAGGCTGGGGAGATGTTTAAGTTTTACACTTTCAAAGAGTGGAATTTCCAAGCAGATGCTATTGCGAATTGCAAGCCGATTATGAACGAGACTGAACGGAAAGTTTACAGAATAGATTCCGAAGGCTACGATATGGAAACGCATTTGTTAAACTCGCTACGAGCTGTGAAGAAAATTCAACTCAAAGAAAATGAAAAGTATGAAGGAACCATGCTGAAAGTTTTGAAGGGGTAAGTTTTTATATTTCCAGAAGAGTTAATAAGACTTTATAAGACTTCTAGCAGAGAACCTAACTATAGCTACACAGTAAAAAAAATAAATTAAATTAACACTATTACTTGAGTAAAACCTATTGGTGGTAGTGAATAAACCAAAAAGGTAAATAAAGAGAAACATTTATTTGGAACAAAAATCTATGACAATTATCAAAATCGGTGCCTTTTAAAATATAATTTTATATTTGAGTCGTATGGCTGGCTTAAGCAAAATGGTTCCTTAAAATGTAAAAGTTTTAGATCAATGCAATGTTTTACTGGCTGTCAACTTGTAAGCAATGAATTATCGTGACAATTCATCAGTAATCCATTTTTCTGTTATAAAAAATGGGTGATTCCATTGGTAGAGAGGCGTCAGGCGGCTGTATGTCGGGGATTTACCACACGTATACAAATTTTCCATAATATTAATAAAAATGTAGGTATAGGTTAATATAACAACCATTACGCTTGAAAATAAAAAGTAAATCAAGTGTGTATGTATTTATATTATTAATGTTACAAGTACCCGACCTACTGCCGTAAATTATTGATATATCAAAACAGACAAAGAAATTGGCATGCACTGTAGTGTACATTTTGTCACTATTTAACACATTAAGGGGTAATAAACACTCGCATTAAGTTTTATTACCCTTTTGATTTATTTTAATAATAAATAGTGTGAATGTACCAATGAATAATGTTCATATTCTTTAAATGTGTTTAATAAAGTTAATAAGCACTACATGCTACCTAGTGTATTTTGTAGTGTAACTTTTACACTTACAAATCAACTCTAATATTTTTACCCCTACACTAAAAAATTTAGGTACCTACCATTTCTCTGCTAAAAGTCTTATTAACTCTTCCAGAAGACTCCCAAATCTTGGTATTAGACTTATTTAGACTTTTTTCGACTTAATAAGTATTATTCAGACTTTTTAAGAGAAAGTAAGACTTTGAAAACTCACAAGGGTGAACTAAACTAAATAACAATTTATTTCAGGTGGTACTACGTCGATAGACTTTGCAAGCTTCTCTTCCTATATTTTCTTGGTTTATATTGTTACAAGCTTTTCTGTTACATTATGAAAGTATAGAACATTAAAAAGACATTGAATTTTATTAGAATATTCAGAAAAAAGGAATTTTTGAAATGGTATAAAAGATGAAATGTGTATTTTTATGGGTTATGATTGTCTACTTTTAAGTTAATATAGTGCTAATTTTACTTATGTAGGTACTTTTATATTTCGGATATAATATATTATGTAGAATTGTACTTGTATATATGTAAATAAATAAATGGTCAGATTTATTAAATTTTCCTTTATTTAATCTTGAAAAATACCTTTGAGGAATACAAAGTGAATTGGGAGAGAAGTGCTCAATAATGGCCGGCGAGATCACCAGATTTAACGCCGCTTGATTTTTTTCTAAAAAAAGTCCAAAAACACCACCATAGAACATTTAAGAACTCAAAAAAAAATAAAATTTAAGAACATAGGCAGATTTATTTATTCCATATACATAGGTAAGATTGCGAGTTTGTAGATGTAGTAGAACATGCCCAGGAAAAACCATGTTTTACACAATTTGTCCACAACGTACATGCTGAAAAAAGACAACAACAGCAATTTATAACAGAGATATATCTCTGTTACTTTTTAGTGTATATACTTTTAGTATGTATACTTTTTAGTATATATACTTAAAAGTAACTTACATCCTCATAGTCCTCTTTGCTCTTGGTAACATGTCGTCTGACTCCTTTAAGTTTACTCTTCTAACGCAAAGCATGCAATCCCTTAAATAAGTCCTAACTGAAAAACCTTCAGGATCCATTTTGTAGCGTTTTTTCTCCAGTTCGCTCATACCACTCCTCAATATAGCCGCCGAATCTTTAAAATCCCAATTTTGGGTGGTGTAAAACTCAAACATAGCCCCAGCGTTCTGGATGCGTCTTTGTACCTTGTACAAACTAAAATATAAAGTTAAAGATGGCAAAAATTGTAATTCTTTACATAAATCACTTACACTGGTGGATATCCCAATATAAACAGTAACATATCAACGAATATGGCTGGTATCATTTGAAATAGGTAGAAGTAAATGGTGTGTAATAATTTATTTTGCGTCATGGTGCCACCAGGATACCATAAAATCATATTGAATGGTATATCTTCTTCGATAACTTTTCTTCCTTCATTGATTATTTCTTCCCAGGTTTTGTAAATGTCTTCCTTTGGAACGACAGCATTGTAAATGTATTGTTTATTGCTATAAAACAAGAATGTACAGACAGAAGTACAGATGGTTTTTCTTTGAATATTTTGAGGCTACATCTTACTTGTTTCCTGAAAGATATGCCAGACTACCAAACAGCATTAAGTTGATAGCTGAGTCGGCCGGTATCAAGTTGGCGTAGGAATTGGGGTTCATGTACATTGACCTTATGACCCCTTTGCCTGCGCCCACAAAAAGACCCATTGGACCTTGAAGGTTGTTGCACCATCCTTTCAGAGGCGAATCGAAAATTGGAATAACTAAAAATATAGTTAAAATATAAAGTTGTTTTTGACCTAAATTGATAAGCTACCTATGGAAGGTCTGACTATTATCACTGGCAACTTTCCGACCTGTTCATTGACTAACTCTTCAGCTAGAGCCTTCGAAAATGTGTAAGTATTTGGTGAATCACCAAGCAACCTTTAACAAAAAAATAAAAAAGACTGCTATTCATGATGATTAGTTTTAATATTCTAAATGGTATTGTTTGTTCTCGAAAATTGCTAGGAGTTTTGGGAGATTGTATTATTTGTTCCTTATTTATTGACCAAAATTTGAATGGTCAAATGTATTTTGAAATGCTAGGTGAAACAATACAGCCACCAATAATAAATGAACTAGAAAATCTTTGGATGAAAATTTAATACATTTTCAGCAAGATGGGGTAGAAGAGGTCCAACGGAATAGCCTCCCAGATCTCCACATCTGACACCATTAGACTTTTTCTTATGGGGTCACTTAAAATCTGTGGTCTACAAATTCAGGCTCATTCCATCGAAGATCTGCGACAACAAATAGTTCAGAATGTCGAGCTATTCCACGAAAAACAATTCAAAATGTTTAAAGGGAATTTGAGAATAGACTATTTCTAAGTCAGTTAGTCGGAGCAGATCTCGTGGACATTCTAATACGTATACATGACTAGCTAATGAGTAAAGCCTGAACACAAATGAACGTAAACATAGACCACAGATTAAATATCACTTACTCTTTGGTGAGTCGTCCGGTTGGATCTTCTTTTATCCATTTCAAACTATCCAAAACATCGTGAGGATTCACTGGTGGTGCGTATCTTTTTTCTTCCAAAACTGTCTCATGTGGAAAAGCGTACGCCGTTGAGCAATGGATGAACAACTAAACCAATAAAAATTTTAACAAAACTCTTTCAATTTTGCCATTAATTTCAAATGCCCTATGAACCCCAAATGGAAATGACCAATCAATGGATCATTTTCATAATACTCACTTTTAACTTTTTGCACTGTTTGGCCAGATGTAGCATATACTCGGTGCCTCTGGTGTTCATGGAAACGGCATGGGTAATAGGGTCATCGAATCTAGTGGTAGCCGCCATATTAAAAATGAAATCGGCTTCGTTTATGACTTTGTTTGTGTAAAATTCGGACATTGCTAATTCTTTGAGGGTCACGTCTCCAGGCACACATTCGCATTTTGAGGCAAAGTCCGGCTGTGTGGATTTTAGAAGGTCAAATAGCTGAAAAAATAATGAAACAACAATTAAATTAATTAAAATTATTAGGTACTTAAAAAATAATTAATAAATTAGTGTAAAATGTTTTCCACAAGTATTTGCAAATCCTGGAAAATCAAATAACAGAATCTTACCATTAGAAAAAGTCTAATGGTGTCAGATGTGAAGATCTTGGAGGTCAATAAATAGGGGCCAATAATACAATGATACATGGTGATAATTTAGTTTAAAATTTTTTAATCGAATATTTTAATTAATTTTAAACAATATATTATGCTATTAAAATTTCAAATCCATATCGTTTGAGTTTCTCCAGAAACACCCTGTATAGCATTATAATTTATTTATTGGGTAAATATTACTATCCTCAGTTTGGAATTAAAATTGAAGCTTGCTTATCGAGTAAAAAATAAATTGAAGCTTGGTTGTGGAGCAAAAAACAAAATTAAAGTAGGTTATAATTTCTAACTGGCTGACACTGTCTATAATTATTATTTAGTTTATTTATTTTAATAAATAAATGTTTTGAGTTTATAGTACACTTATCAATTGAAACTCAATCATTTGCAACTTATAAACTGAACTGCCAAATTATCTTTCATGCTTCCAATGGTAGGTTACCATAGAGAAAAGTCTATGATGCCTATTATGATCAAAATTAGTAAACTTGAAAATTTTATAAATAAAAATCCACAAAAAAAACACATTCATTTAATTTCACAGTTACCAATCTGACATCTGTCAGACCGGATTAACCTCACTTTTGCCTTGTTAACATTTATAAATGTATGTATACTATAGGTTTGTGGTACTTACAGCATTTGTAAAGATGGAAGCCAACCTGTCTGTAACAGACATTCCCTTTTTTCTCCTGATTAAGATGTAAATTTTCTTAACATTGCAGCATCTTATAAGTTTTTCTATGAGCACTTTTCCTAGAAAGCCTGTTCCACCACTCATAAAAATAATTTTTCCCTCGAAAAGATTTTTAATTCTGTCTTGATCCCCCATTTTAACTAAATATAATAAAAAATGTTTAATAAAAAACAAATTTTAGAAAAATAAATATTTACAAATTGGTAACATCTATTTTAGTCATAAAAATAAAACTATGAAATTCGCACCTTATATACTGAAATAAACATAATTATTGATTAAAAAAATTATAATTATACAATTTTATTTATCATAATTAAAAACTTGAAATATGCATCTGTTGTACTGAATAAATATAATTATTGATAAAAAATTGATAATTATAGATTTTAATAATTAGCGGCGCAATAATATTTACCACTTATTAATTAAGGTTGTTTTTAATATCCTTATTATTATTTGACACATTTTTTTTCTATTCCCATCTTTCACTGGGTGACCTTTTAAATATACGTTGACAAGTTGTGGCTTTATCCCTGATAGCAAAATATGATTTTAAGAATCTTTTAAGAAGATATGACCCGGAATAATGGAATATTCTTAGAACCTTTCCTTATTGCTAAGAATGTTCTTAGGGACTTTTAAAACATTCAATAGATACTCTTTTAATGATGCAATTAGATTCTTAAAACCTTCCTAAAAATTATCACAAGAACATTTTAAGAATACGTTTTTGAAATGTTCTTATGGAGCTTCTAGGAAGCTTTTGAGAATATTTCCAAATATGTCAGATACCCACGTTCTAATATGTTGTATTCTACATTCGTAAAATTCTTCAGGAGACGACAAACACGCCTCACTGTCATAATATGACAGTAAAATGTATTTGTCGTCCCCTTAAAAAATTTTGCGACATATTAATATATATTTATTTAAAAATATTAAATAAACAATTTGACCTCTAAACCATAAGTTGTATGACATTATTTCATAAAAAGTAAAATTGGAAAATTTTGTGGGATAAGTCAGATTAGATTGAAGTTGAAGATAGTTAGGATTATTATACATAAAAATGTTAATTCAGAAATAAAAAATCGGTATACAAATTAATAAATATTTATTTTTAACATAAAATAAAATACCTATAGTAAAAGTATTTTTGTTATCGAATATTGTTTTAATTTGACAAATAACTATAAAAAAATATTTTGGATTGTGTTTTTTACTTAGTATTTAATACTACTTATTAATTAGGTACTTAAGTATAGTACGTAGTTTATGGTATATTTTACTATTATATAGGTAACTGAACTAAATATGCTTAACAGGAATATTCCTAAATAAACTTTCTATAGCAATTACTTTCTTAACATTCTAAGCATATGTTTAGAGTAGACTAATTTTTACCACTAAAACTTTGCACCTTCTAAGAACCTGCCTATAGGCCAGTAAGAATATTCTTAGGATCATGCTATATGTCTTTTAAGCATGTTCTTTAGAAGAAATATAGCATGATCCTAAGAATATTCTCACTGGAAGGTTTAAAAAACATTCTTAGAATAAAGTGTGCTATCAGGGTTAGTCCATTTTCAAGGGATAGATTTGGATTGACACATAAAAATTTGACATTTTTACCGGTAATACAGATTCCCAAGTTACCAAATGGTTAGGTACTCTATTGTTTTATATACAAGGAATACAAGAAATGTAAATAAATAAAATACTAGGTAGGTATATATTTTTTATTTATTATTGACAAATACATTTATTAATGGAGTACAAAATATAAATTTACCATAATATAACCTACCTATAACAATATCACTTTTTTGTATTATATTAGGTTAAACTAAATTAACAAGTAAAAAATAGTTGTATATCTATAGTTTTTTGATATATTCTTTTATTACACACAATATACACAAAACTTACTAAAGATACATTTATATAATTCAGATACAGGGTGTTTTGTAATTGATGTAATATATTAAAATACTGGGGCTTTAACGTCGGCACTGTATATATTTAAGTATATATATATCTATATATATATATAAAAGCAAAGGAAATACAATATTTAAGACCAGATGTGTATTTATTTCCTTTTTATTTAATTTAGTTATTCAATATAGGTAGGAATGCAAACTTGTAGATGTAGTAGAGAATGCCCAGTAAGAACCATGTCTTGCATAGTTTGTCCACAACATACATACTGAAAAGAAAATTACAAATGTATGAAAACATTTCTTTGGTATATTAGCATTTGAAGAGATAAATAAAGATTTACTTACATCTTCATTGTCTTCTTTGCCCTCGGCAACAAATCATCAGACTCCTTTAAGTTTACTCTTCTGACGCACAACATACAATCCCTTAAATAAGTCCTAACTGAAAAACCTTCCGGATCCATTTTGTAACGGTTTTTCTCCGTTTTGCTCATGCCACTCCTCAATATGGCCACCGAATCCGTAAAATCCCATTTTTTAGTGGTGTAAAACTCAAACATACCACCAGCGTTCTGAATGCGTCTTTGCACCTTGTACAAACTAAAATATAAAGTTTAAGGTGGCAAAAATTATAATTCTTTAAATAAATCACTTACACTGGTGGATATCCCAATATAAACAGTAACATATCAACGAATATGGCTGGTATCATTTGAAATAGGTAGAAGTAAATGGTGTGTAATAATTTATTTTGCGTCATGGTTCCACCAGGATACCATAAAATCATATTGAATGGTATATCTTCTTCGATAACTTTCCTTCCTTCATTGATTATTTCTTCCCAGGTTTTGTGGAAGTCTTCTCTTGGAGAGACAGCATTGTAAATGTATTGTTTATTACTAAAAAACATAAATGTAATGGACAGAAGTACAGATGGTTTTTCTTTGAATATTTTGAGGCCACAAAATATTCAAAGGAACCAATTTATCAGATGTTACATCTTACTTGTTTCCTGAAAGGTATGCCAGACTACCAAACAGCATTATGTTGATAGCTGAGTCGGCCGGTATAAAGTTGGCGTAGGAATTGGGGTTCATGTACATTGACCTTATGACCCCTTTGCCTGCCCCCACAAAAAGACCCATTGGGCCTTGAAGGTTGTTGCACCATCCTTTCAGAGGGGAATCGAAAATTGGAATAACTAAAAATACAGTCAAAATATAAAGTTGTTTTTGACCTAAATTGATATCCTACCTATGGCAGGTCTGACTATTATCACTGGCATCTTTCCGACCTGTTCATTGACTAACTCTTCAGCTAGAGCCTTCGAAAATGTGTACGTGTTTGGTGAATCACCAAGCAACCTTTAACAAAAAAATAAAAAATACTGCTATTCATGTTGATTAGTTTTAATATTCCAATTAGTATTGTTTGTTTTCCAAAATGGCTAGGAGTTTTGGGAGATTGTATTATTTGTCCCTTATTTATTAACCAAAATTTGAATGGCATATTTTGAAATGCTAGGTGAAACAATACAGCCACCAATAATGAATGAACTAGAAAACTTGGATGAAAATTTAATACATTTTCAGCAAGATGGAGCACCACCTCATTATGTAGTAGCTGATCATAATTATCCAGGACAGTGAATTGGTAGAAGAGGACCAATAAAATGGCCTCCCAGATGTCCAAATTTGACACCATCAGACCTTTTCTTGTGGGGTCTTTTAAAATATGTGGCCTACAATCTCAGGCTCATTCTATTGAAGATCTGCGACAACAAATAGTTCAGGATGCCGAGCTGTTTGAGGACAAACATTTCAAAATGTTGGAAGGGAATTTGGGAATAGACCATTTCCAAGTCAGTTAGTCGGAGCAGATCTCGTGGACATTCGAATACGTATACATGATTACCTAATGAGTAAAGCCTGAACACAAATGAACGTAAACATAGACCACAGATTAAATATCACTTACTCTTGGGTGAGTCGTCCAGTTGGATCTTCTTTTATCCATTTCAAACTATCCAAAACGTCGTGAGGGTTCACTGGTGGTGCGTATCTTTTTTCTTCCAAAACTGTCTCATGAGGGAAAGCGTACGCCGTTGAACAATGGATGAACAACTAAACCAATAAAAATTTTAACAAAACTCTTTCAATTTTGCCATTAATTTTAAATGCCCTATGAACCCCAAATGAAAATGACCAATCAAAGGAACATTTTCATAATAAATTTTTCTCACTTACTTTCAACTTTTTGCACTGTTTGGCCAGGTGTAGCATATACTCGGTACCTCTGGTGTTCATGGAAACAGCATAGGTTATGGTGTCATCGAATCTAGTGGTAGCCGCCATATTAAAAATGAAATCGGCTTCGTTTATGACTTTGTTTGTGTAAAATTCGGACATTGCTAATTCTTTGAGGGTCACGTCTCCAGGCACACATTCGCATTTTGAGGCAAAGTCCGGCTGTGTGGATTTTAGAAGGTCAAATAGCTGGAAAAATAATAAAATAATAGTTACATCGGGTTGAATTATTGGTAATATATGCAGTAATGTATTTATTAAATAAGAGAAGTTTCATTTCATTCTAAATGAGTGAAATCAAGAATTATTAACCAGGAAAATATCTTCGTTTCAACACCAGGATTATCTCTTATTAGTAAATTTATTTATTTGCGAGTTTTAGCTTTTATATAACTTTAAAACACACTGTGTGCATGATTGAGTTTGTAAATATAGTTGAAGCATTAAGAATAATTAGAATGTCTAGTGTTTATATACAGTGTGTCTACTTAAGTTGGCAACACATGGAAAACTTTTTTATTATTAATAATTAATAAAAAAGTTATACCTCATAAACATGTTAATATATTATATGGGTGATTCTACAAAAGTTGGGCAACTTTTGACCCCATTTTGTTTATATAGTTTTCGGAGAAAATTAAACAGTATTTTGTTATGAGAACATAGACAATATAATAAATATACTGTTCCAGACCGGGCCAGTCACTTTTTCAAACCGTTTCTGAAATATCTGTGTTTTCTAAATTTGAATGCAAGGGAGTGACGAGTATACCAGGGTACTAATTAAATACATAATTTATTGGAAAATATAAGATTTATTGCAACTTTGAGCATATTATACATTAAATATCTTAAAATCAAATAATACCACACATCAGTGGCGGCTGGTGGATTTTGGGTATACCGATATCTCAATTATTAGATATGGGACCCACGCCAAATTTATATGAGTTTATAAAGACATTAAATAAACAAGTTCTGCGCAAGCAGAATTTAAATTGAAGTTTGCTAAAAAAGATACCGAAACAACGAAACGGATACAAATTTGAGATTATAATTCGGAATTAAGTATTTTACTGATACTTTTTATTTGTGGATGCTACTTGGTAAATTCTCATATAACTTGTTTCGATGCTGTATCCACTTATTTTTGTGAAAACTAATTCTCGCTCAAGGTTTTTTTTAGTGTAATGAGCAAGTAGCATTTTAAGGTAATGGGAACTTAAATTATGACAACCCTAATCTATTAATTTTTTCCTAAAATGCAGGCTTTATGTTGCAAATGTCACATAAGTTACCGGTCACCAACTGCAATATCCTAACATTGATGAATATTTTAACAAAATGGCTGTTGAAACAACTAATATTAGTGCTTGATTAACTCAAAATAGACTTAATTAAGATTGACGAAAAATTCTTTCATCCGAAATCGGCAGTAAAGTAGAACTTTACTGCCGATTTATTTTAATTTACGATTGTTGACTACTTTACTGCCGATTTCGGATAAAATAATTTTTTGTCAATCTTAAGTCTATTTTTAGTTAATCAAGCACTAACATTAGTTGTTTGAACGGTCATTTTGTTGAAATATTCATCGATGTTAGGATATTGCAGTTGGTGACCGGTAACTTATGTGACATTTGCAACATAAAGCCTGCATTTTAGGAAAAAATTAATAGATTAGGGTTGTCATAATTTAAGTTCCCATTACCTTGAAATGCTACATGCTTATTACACTAAAAAAAACCTTGAGCGAGAATTAGTTTTCACAAAAATAAGTGGATACAGCATCGGAACAAGTTATATGAGAATTGACCACTTATCAACAAATCACATATATCCTTATATAAATTACAATGAAATATATATACTACTAACCACAGTACTGAAATTTTGACTGGAACTATACGTGCATTCACCACTACTTCGCCGCTTGCATTGTTTTCAAGATGACTGTCGTGCAAAGGGCGGGCTCTGTAGGTAATTTTTTACCAACTCTTGAGTTAAAACGAGGACTTGACGTTTAAACTTCAATATTTCGCAGGAATTTTGAATTTTAACATTGGACTCAGAACTGACGGTTAAAAGTGAGTACAAAGATTATCAATTTTTTAAAAATTGCTTTTATTCAAATCTATGATAAAATATGAAAAAAACATTATTTAATTTTTTATAGTTTGTAGTGAAATTGAAAAATTTAAGATAAATTGAATGTATTTTAAAATAAAATCACTCAGATATTTGATTCAGGAGTTGTGACACGCCAAGGTACTGATGTTCTGAATATTTATTATGTTTTTCTACAAACGTGATTTTGAAAAAATACATTAAAATTGGGTGACAAGTTAAAAAAACTGGATCTTTTGTAATATACTAAAATATTTATAAAACATTAAAATACCTACTCTATTGACTGATGAAGTTGTCCAACTTTTGTAGAATCACCCATATATTTATATATAAATAAACTACACTTTAGATGCTACTGTGTAGCGAAACAATTGTCATATTTAAATAAAATGGTAAAACTTTTATCAGGTTATCATTTTTATAATAAATAAAAAAGATAAATGTTCGGGATGGAAAATTTGAGTAAAATTTGTAAAAAAAAAATTAAGTAGAACGATGTACCAAATTCATATTTTTTGTCAAACCACGTATATGACTGAAAAAAATTGATATCTGATGATTTTGTACTTTTAACAACACTATTGTTTCAGTCAGATGTGCTCAAGAATGGCCGGCAAGATCTCCAGATTTAACCCCACTTGATTTTTTTTAAATTTCAATTGTTAAAACAAAATCAATAACCACTAAAATAAACAAGTAAACAACCATTAATAAAGTACTCCAAACTTCAGATACATCAATTATTATTATAATAATGTAAATTATGTTTGCAATTTTCATAATAACTACATATTCAATTTCTTTACAAGAAATTAACAGTTTGTTTTTTCTACTACAATAAAACTTGTAATAATAAAAATTTGTTTTGCTAATTACCCAATTTTTTATACGAAAATGTGAAATTTGATAGGTCTTTTAAGTTATAAAAAATCTAGCAATAATATTTATAAAAGTGAAATATGTCATGTTTTGAAAGCCAAATATTAATATGAATTTACACATTCATAATGATGTCCTAGGTCAACGGAAATTTCCGTAAAACACTTAATATAAATTATATACATGGAATGATGCAATTACTATACCTTAGGCAAAAATAATTTAAATTTTTACTTCACGGTTTAATTTTAGTAGGCCTGAAATTATCACTTAATCTACATTGGGACGAATTGATCAAAAGTCTACAACTCAAATTGGGTAAAGTAGACAATTAAAATTAATACTGTAAAAATATAAATAGTCACCTTAAAGTCAAATAATATAGAACTACTTTATTTTGTGTCCAATATAGGACAAAAAAGTTCGCACTTTACTTTGGTGGTAAGATTTTTGTTTTTTGTTAAGAGCAGGGCTGTGTTTAAATTACAATAAAAAATATTTCTAAAAAGTGTACAGATCAGTGTGTGGTATAAATGGTTTAAACATTGTCACTTAAATACGTTTCAATTTTAATTTTGAAAACAAACAGTAAAATGGCCAGTGTCCAATTACTGATTGGTAAAAATGTAAATTTCTATTATTGGACTTATGTCCAATATCATACTCTATTTGTATCCCGGACATTTACCAGTCAATTCTTATGTAAAATTGTCCCCTGAATCCGAAAAGACCGTCAAAAACTATAAAAGTTAAGCAGTTTTTGAGATATAGTCAATTCCATATTATATGTAAAATTGATTATATTTCAAAAACTGTCCTACTTTTATAACTTTTGACGATATTTTCGGAATAAGCGAATAATATTTCATAGGAATTGACTGCTAAATCCTGGATACAAATTGCTGTTGACGAGAATTATTAGTGGCTGCTTTTTCGCTATGATATTTTTGACTAATTTATTTTTAGAGAGTAAGTAATATAGTTCTTTCTTCGTCACAGAACATATTGCAGAATAACAGTGATTTAAATACAAATAAAAATTTAATGGCAGCAAAATTAATCTATCCCAATGTGCCATTTCAGTTAATGAATGGCTAAAACTTTCATGGTTCACCGACCAAATTTTACTGGCCTACGTGATAGTTTTTGGTGGCATTGAACTCTATGTTGTTTTATTACCAGCATTTGGACTAATTTGTAATTAATTATAACGTTGCTCATGAGCAACTTGTCATATTTTTAAGTATTGTGAAAATCATAAAAATATAGTTTTTGCGTAGTAAGCATTATATACGAGGTGTGTTTCGTTTTTTGAAACAAATATTTATTTATTAGTCTACATTAATGTTGTCGCCTTCAAAATAGTCCCCATTGGATATTATGCACATGTGCCAGCTCTTCTTCCAATACTCGAAACTATTCTAAAACTCGATCTTTGGGATAGCCTTTAGTTCTTTCAGCGATGCGCTTTTAATGCTTGCAAAACGACGCGTCGGCCCTTTAAGGTTCTCTTTATTTTTGGGAATAGGAAAAAGTAAAACAGAGGCATGTCTGGCGAATATGAAGGCTGGGGCATCATTACAGTATTGTTTTTGGCCAAAAATTTTGTTCAAAATTTAACAGTTTTGGAACAAATTCTGCTGCCACGCGTTTCATGCCCAAAACATTCGAAAAAATTTCATGGGATGAGCCAATCGATATACCAACATCATCAGCGACTTCTCTGATGGTTTATAACCATTTCTTCCACTTTTTCCATGTTTTTATCGGTTGTTAATGTGCTTGTGCGTTCGGGGCGTTCATCATCTTCAACGTCTTCACGGCCATCTTGGAAACTCTTATACCACTTGAAAACTCTTGTTTTACTTATAGCGGACTCACTATAGGCCTTTGTTAACATTTCACAGAATTTATCTCATTTTTTAAGCAAAATTGGATACAAATTCTTTGATCCATTTCTTTTAACGAACGAAAAATCGCCGAGCTCATAAAACACGTCTAACCTTAGCGGCTGCCACAGACAAAGTAAACAATGAAAACAGCTAAAGTTTTTATCATACTTCGGGGGCATGTATACCAACATAATAAAGAAAATTTTATGACAACCGTACCCTCCGAACCCGCGAAATTTAACAAGTCCCGTTATTTTCTGAACACACCTCGTATATGTATGTACAATTTTAATACCTATTTAACTTAATAGATATTACTTAACATAATCTGAGAGATCAAAGTAATCAGCTTTTATACTTGGACGTTAACTTATATAGGTACCTAGCAACATTTTTTTTTATTTCTTAAATTCCTTTAAAAGGAAAGTCGTATGAGAATCAACAAACCAAATGTAGATTTAATTTTACCTTAAGAATGCGATACTGTAGACATGTCACAAGTACACTAAAATATAAGAAAAAACTATTTTTAGGTACCTACTAAACAATTTACGTTTTTTGCCTTCACCTTTATATATGTCACACTCTGTAATAATAATGTAGAAGGTACCGTGAGGTGGCAGTGACAGTTCTTTATGCAGTGTTACTAAAATCTAAAAATGACTTAAAAAAAACAAAGAAAAAAATATTTAAAAACGGTTTGAGAACCAAAAAAGGTTGTCTATAGACAACCTTATAATTATTTAAAAAAAACAACATATTTATATCCCATTACATAATATTACTAAAAATTAAGTCTAGAACCTTTTTGATCTATCAAGAAATTAATAATTTAAAATACATATGTTGGCCTTTTTCAAGGTTAGTAAACTGCATTTACTGGTTTTAAAGGTTAAGGTTAAATGGGTATATTTAAATTATTAATTTGATAACCTTGCTATTTTTTGGAAAAGAAAGAATGTAAAACTGTAATTTATTGAAGGCGATAAACGTTTCAATTTTTAAAATATCCTAAATGTTAAAAAAAATGCTGCTCGACGAACTCTTTTTTTCGGTTGAACACTCCCGTTTGTAGTAAACTGCTTGACTGTACTATAAATAATTTCTTTATACCTCAATAATAATTATTATTTATAACTATATACCATTTTTTTTTACCTTAAATGAGGTATTATTATTAAAAATAGTACATTAATCCTTTAAATTAAAGGATTTAATGCTGGCAGTTAAAAGTGACCATGGTACGCAATTGATAATTATCACCGAATGAAATAATGTAAAAAATTTAAACCAAAGGAAAGTTAAAAAATCGTGGGTACTTAAAAAAATCAGATTTAATTTAATAAGGTACCTAATTATTACCAAAAAAGTGATATTTTTATAGAAAAATTATTGCAGAATCGTATAAGAAGAAAAATCGAATAAAATTGATTTTTTTCATTACAGCAAATATGAAAAAATGTTTTAGACAAAATCTACTTATTTTTTGAATCCATAGAGGTTTGTGGTACTTACAGGGTTTTTAAAGATGAAAGCCAATCTTTCTGTAACAGACATTCCCTTTTTTCTCCTGATTAAGATGTAAATTTTCTTAACATTGCAGCATCTTATGAGTTTTTCTATGAGCACTTTTCCTAGGAAGCCGGTTCCACCACTCATGAAAATGGTTTTTCCCTCGAAAAGTTTTCTTATTCTATCTTGATCCTCCATTTTAACTAAAGATGAAAAAATATTAAATAAAACTAAAATAAAACTTTGAAACCTTTTATACTAAGTAACTATAATTATTGATAAAAAAATTTATAATTATGGAATAAAGACGCAATATAATGACCTGTTTAATAAGGTTGTTTTTAATATAATTATTCACTAACTACCATTTAACAAATTAATTAATTTTATGTGGATCTAGTGAACTGTATTTTTGATTTACAATATCTCCACACACAGAAGTCGAGTGCATTTAAATCTGGACAACGAGGAGGCCACAGAATCGTTATTACCGGACACCTTGTAGAATCAAAAGAAAGTCCCTGTCGCAAGATTTTATTTTTAAGACTTTTTCCATTGATTATTACGCTCGGCTGCCTAATCAGTTTTAAACTACCATAATTATTGGTGTGAGCAAATTATATTGCATTCACAATGCAATTTAAAGGATTTCAGAATAAACAGCATATTTAAAAAAAAATAATAAAAGAAGATAATGAGAGATGAAACCAATGAAATCATATAAAAAGTAGTTAAATATAGGTGACTACGGCCCAGGAAAAACAAAGTATTCCTTACTTAAGAATCTGATATAATTTTTGACATATTATATAATACACGGTGCTGTTCTGAGAGGTGATTTTTGGACTTTCTGTGAAACCTAATTTTTTTATATTCTTGTTAATTATGTCATAACTAAAATTTTAAGAGCAAAATAAAAAAAATTTGACGGTTTCAATTTTTTTAATTGGCTGTTTATTAAAAATATTATGCACTCTTTCAATTATCCAATTAAAACTAGCGATTTAATTTAAATATTTAATATTTGCATAACTAAAAAAAAGGTTTTTACAATTTTTTTTATATATTTTACTGTTTTGTTGCAATAAACGTTCAAACTTTTAATCTAACCTTTGACGTATACATTTATGTTCCCTTAATTAATATATCCTTAAAGGTTGCCATGAAACTAAGATCTATTAAAAATTAATTTGACGTTTGAATTGTCATTTTCAGTATACGTATTCTATAATTTTTGTTTAGTTTTTTAAAGTGTTTTTTATAAACAAAAATGAAAAATTGTAGTAAAAGTTAAGAAGAAATTCATGAAATTTAACTAAGGACCGGTTTATTCATCTTTAGTAAAGTTTATCGGGCCGATAACTTTCATGTCTTGACAATAGCTGGCCATACACAGACGTTATTGCGCGCGGTTTATCGTGTTATCTGCAAAAACATATGGAAAATCATGTACGTGAGTGAGTATCGCCGCGTGAAATGATAGAACGGGAAGGGATTTCAGACGTGCTTTTCTCTGGAGTGTGGCGTGTCCACACGCCACATTCCGCGTCACGGTTTACCTTTGCTTGGCAAAATTTCACGTTGAAAATTTGTACATGAGCACATGCAGTTTCAAACGACTCGATAAATGACACTTTTTGCCCACTCACATACGATTTTTCCTTTGAAACTGATATACCACGGGCAATCACTTGCTAAATCATTTGAATACTTTATCAAGTGTATGGAACATGACGCTTTTTTTGCCACGCCGTTCTTTCGTGCATGCAAACCGCTACATGCCAACACGCCACGATAAACCGCGCGAAATAACGTCTGTGTATGGCCAGCTAATATCTAGTATCCAAAGAAATTATTCGTCAAATAAATCAAAAATGAATAAATCGGCCCTAAATAAAATGTGGCACCCTTAGAATTATTGTTTAATAAATGTATACTATACATTTAACCTTAAATTAAAACTTTAAACGTGTATTACAACAAAACAGTAAAAGATATAAAAAATGTATAGACCTTTTTTTAGGAAATTAACTAATCTTTAATCTGATTTAAAAAGTTATGATAATATTTAAATAAAATCGCAAGTTTTAATTGGAGAATTGAAAGTGTGCATACATATTTTTAATAAACATCCAATTAAAACAAAATTAACCGTCAAATCTTTTTTATTTTGCTCTCAAAATTTTAGTTATGACCTAATTAACAAGAATATAAAAATAATTAGGTTTCACAGAATGTCCAAAAATCACCTCTCAGAACAGCACCGTGAATAATTAACAAGTAAATTATCAATGATAAATATTAATGTCAATTTGACAGCAATTTTTTAAATACTAAAAATACTAAATCAAAGTGATAAGCTACCAACTTAATAAAAAAAATTAACTGTATGTTTACATTTGCTCCTATAATAGTTTATGTAAGATTATTTAACACCTACCTTAAAATATTTTCGCAAAACAGAAAACAAAACAAAAACAACCGGCTCACCAAACTGAAACTGTATCGGTCAGATTCTTATAGGTAAATCGAACTCAGTGACTTCCTTACAAAATAACAAGCCAACTGATACTTTTACTTTTATATATGTATATATATATATATATATATATATATATATATATATATATCGATTTAAAATACATTGCTAAATGAATAGCACGTCTATTTTACAGTTTAACACTTTTTTACGTTTTTATTTATTGATTTTTTATTTATAATTTAATTTAATTACACCATCATTAATTGTAGACATAATTGATGAACTGTAATTGTAATAGATAGGTCGATTTAATTAAAAAAATTGCTCGTTTTAATAAGCATACAAAAAATTAATAGTATATTATGTATCAAGTTTGATAAACGCCATTTTATACACGAATTTAATTAATGAATGTATAGAAAAGTTTATAAACGAGGTGCATACTATACTTTTTCTACGACAAATAACAAAATTTGTATAGAGCGCCATCTATGAAACAATAGGGGAATCTGTGTGTCACCGTCAAATGTCACATTTTTATATTTTATAAACACAGATTATAAAGGTTATAAATCGAAATGTATTTCTTGAAAATTGACAGTTTTTCACAGTGAAAGTAAAGAAAATGTTTTATGAGCACTTTACAGTGGAGTCCGTGCCCGAATTTAAGTTATAGTTTACTGCCGGCGAAATTAAAAGGTCAGCACAATGTCCATATAAACTTTTCAAATATTGGCGTTGAGAAACTATTTAATACTTTTGTATTTTTGTATTGACATAATAAAATAATTTTCACATTTAGTACGAGCCCTAACCACATAATGTTCGGACACTTCATAATTTATACAGAAATTTTTTTCGTGAATACTATCTCAAAATTATTAGAAGTTATGAAAAATTCAGCTTATTTTGGCATATACCCCTCGAAGCGATTTTTATTTTTAAAAAGTTTACCTTTTATTTTTAGCTTTTAAAAAAAGGCTAACTTTTTAACTTTTTTTTGCATGAGTAAAAAAAGTTATAAATGGGCCCATTAAAAAGAACATAAAATATTATACAAACCCTGAAAATTTGGTAAAAATTGTATAAATAATAAGAAAGTTATAGCGATATATATATCTGCAAAATCTCCCGTTTCCTAAGAAAATTGCAAAAACTCTTTAAAAATAGCATTTTTAAATTACTTATACTTTTTTATAACTTATTTATTTTTTACCAAATTTTCAGGGTTTGTATAATATTTTATGCTCTTTTTAATGGGTCCATTTATAACTTTTTTTACTCATACAAAAAAAAGTTAAAAAGTTAGCCTTTTTTTAAAAGCTAAAAATAAAAGGTAAACTTTTTAAAAATAAAAATCGCTTCGAGGGGTATATGCCAAAATAAGCTGAATTTTTCATAACTTCTAATAATTTTGAGATAGTATTCACGAAAAAAATTTCTGTATAAATTATGAAGTTAGGGCTCGTATTATTTTACAAGAAAGGCACTTTATTTTAACGATTGTATGACATTTGACAACTGTCAACTAACTTAAAACTAACTTCAGCCCGTGACTAAAAACCTGTTGCTAACTTCAGCCCGTGACTAAAGCGCCATAAAGCCACAACTTGTCAATGTGTGTTTAAAAGGTCACTTAGTGGCATGGAAACATGTACGATTAAGGGCGTTTTAAAGGTGGAAGTAGAAAAAAAAGTTTAAAGATCATATGCTATCAATATTCTATTAATTTAATTAAGTAAATATGATAAATTAATAAATTTGTTGTAACTAGTTTTTACCCAATAATAATTCATTATTACTACCCTTGGTTTTATACTTATGTTTTATGCAAAAAAATTTATAAAATGTATTTATATTTCAAAATAAATAAATACTACGGAATATTAAGTAATTGTAGACAGGTGTGGGATAACAATGTTTCTAATAATTTTTTGCTACTGTTACATTTACTATAAGTATAGTATATAATTTGTTACACGTTTTTTACTTATACACGATCACTTACTTAACACCTTAACAACTTGAAAACAATTAAATAATAAATAATCAATTTTTACGGTAGATAGTAGAAACCTAATTTTGCAACATTATTAATTTTCGGATTGTACAACCAATTTCAAAGCATAAATTTTAATTTTCCGAAGCCTTGGCATAAAAGTTGTTTATTAAAATATTTTAGTTTACCTCCTAAGTTTTTTGGTTTTAATAACTGCCCAAAATAATTATTGCTACCATTAATTGTATCACCCTAAAAATAGACAAGTTTTTGGTTAATTATTTCAAACCCCAAAGTTTTGTTGTCTTATCAGCTATTGGGGTCTCCAAAAAGTATTAACAAAATTTGTTAATACTTTTTGGAGACCCCAATAGCTGATAAGACAACGAAACTTTGGGGTTTGAAATAATTAACCAAAAACTTGTCTATTTTTAGGGTGATACAATTAATGGTAGCAATAATTACTTTGGGCAGTTATTAAAACCAAAAAACTTAGGAGGTAAAATAAAATAATTTAATAAACAACTTTTATGCCAAGGCTTCGGAAAATTAAAATTTATGCTTTGAAATTGGTTGTACAATCCGAAAATTAATAATGTTGCAAAATTATTGATATTAAAATTAAATTCAGGGATGGTATAAGTTATACCGTATAACAAACATTTAATGTTTGTTATACGGTATAACTTATACCATCCCTGAATTTAATTTTAATATCAATAATTTTAGTTGTGAATGTGAGAAACAATTTCAATAAATCTAAGTAATAGTCACTTGATTAGTATTTGTTGGTAAAAGGTTATGTATTCGTGTCATATTCATTTATCATTGGTAGTTCTAAAGAGTATTTTTGTTGATTTTTTTTTATTTTGTTTCATAAAATACTTGATACATGATATTTACTTTCACACTTGGTACTTTGCATTCAAACCAACTGCAATTAAAATAAATTTTGTTTTTTATTTGAAAAATATTTAAAGTGAGTTTTTGCATATCTCACTTTATATGTAGGTACATATGCATAAATTATTAATTTTCTAAATATATTATGTATGCAAATTTCAGTTTCTTACCAAATTTTAAATTCGCAAATATCCTTACCTTGTCAGTTGTGACATTTGTCAATCAGAACAAACTAAGGTTCATTTTTTTATACACAGTAAAAAAAATCAACTCTAAGCAACACTAATTAGAGTTTATACAGGTCCACACTAAATAGTGTTGTTTTATAACACTACAATTAGAGTTAATTTGTAATGTAATTTTCCCCAAGTAAGCAAGTATGATTTAACAATATAGCCCTGAGGATAAAGTAATTTTACACTGTATTAAAAAGTGTTAATTTACCTAAAATCGTGTACTTCTACACTTCCTGGGTAAAATCCCACTTTTGTTCAGTGTAAATTAACACTACTTTGGAAAAGTTCTAATTTTAAAAAGGTACTTTTACTCTTTTAGTGCAAACTTCTAGTGTAAATTAACACTATTATTTGAGTAAAACCTATTCGTGGTAGTGAATAAAACGAAAAGGTAAATAAAGAGATTTATTTGCAACAAAAATCTATGACAATTATCAAAATCGGTGCCTTTTAAAATATAATTTTATATTTGAGTCGTATGGCTGGCTTAAACAAAATGGTTCCTTAAAACGTAAAAGTTTTAGATCAATGCAATGTTTTACTGGCTGTCAACCTGTAAGCAATGAATTAACTTGAGAATTCATCAGTAATCCATTTTTCTGTTATAAAAAATGGGTGATCCCATTGGTAGAGAGGCGTCAGGCGGCTGTATGTTGGGGATTTACCACACGTGTACAAATTTTCCATAATATTAATAAAAATGTAGGTATAGGTTAATATAACAACCATTACGCTTGAAAATAAAAAGTAAATCAAGTGTGTATGTAGGTATTTATATTATTAATGTACATTGTAACGTTACAAGTACCCGACCTACTGCCGTAAATTATTGATATATAATATAGGTCGGGTATGGACATCCATTTAACATATTGGTATTTATTGAGTATTAAGGCTTAAAGAAAAAGGAAGTATAATACTTACCAAAAAATAAGAATGTCCCCTTATGGATTCACCGTAATTAAAATCTAACTGAACAAAAATGCCACACTTCCACAACGCGGTATCTCCGGATATGCACTGCGTAGGTAGATAGGTACCAACCAAACATTTTAAAACGCATTCCGGTTATTACCAGTTTTTTCCGTCTATTTTGCCACTATTGGTGTAATTTAACTTTAATTGTGATACAATGTGCACTAATAGTGTAAAGAAAAAAGAGCTCTTAGTAACATCAAAACAGACAAAGAAATCGGCTTGCACTGTAGTGTACATTTTGTCACTATTTAACACATTAAGGGGTAATAAACACTGGCATTAAGTTTTTGTACCCTTTTGATTTATTTTAATAATGAATAGTGTGAATGTACCAATGAATATTGTTCATATTTTTTAAATGTGCTTAATAAAGTTAATAAGCACTGAATGCTACCTAGTGTACTTTTACACTTACAAATCAACTCTAATATTTTTACCCCTACACTAAAAAAATTACGCGGGCAAAATTTTTTACTGTGTAGTTTGTTTTAATCAATGTAGCCAATTTACCAACCAAACCCCTAAATTTGCAACGTTGCAACTTACCACAGATATTAACAACAATTCCACCAACCAAACAAACTTAAATCGCGCAACGCACCAAAACTGTTTGTTTATTCTTCGAAATTCAAAGGATTACTGATCTATAAAAAATACACTAAACCGCTTTATTATCAAATACCACCAAAGTTTGTTTATTTTTTTTTAAACCAGGTGGGGTTAATGACAACATTTTATTGGGTTATGAAATCTTTTCACTTGACCTTGGCAAGATCACGGCTAATAATAATTAGCAAAATGCAAATTTTGCTATACATTGTTTTAATTAAATAAAAATAATTAGGTACAATAAATAAATATCAAAAAGTTTTTATTAATTTGACTTTTGTTTTGATGATTCTTTTTAATTTCCATCTATAGAAAAAATGTGGTCTATTTTTAAAAGAATATATGACAAAT